CACCGAAGACCCTCGGGGTCTGGGCCACGTGGATGCTCCTTCAGGGTCCCAGTAGGCCTTGCCACTTGCCTGCTCAGCTGCCCCTCGTGCAGTGAACACCCTGAGCAGCTGTGCACAGGGCCCTCCCTGCATGGTATGGGGGAGCAGGCAAAGATGGGGGTGGTGTAAAGCTGGAGGGGAAGTGATGGGACCTCATGGCTATGACCCCTAGCGTCAGGCGAGCAGGACACCATGCCATGAGACAGGCAAGAATGCAAGGGGGCTGAGGTCCCCTGAAGCCCCGGAGGGTGTGTGCCTTGTCCTCCTGTCTGTGTTCCCCGGGCAGCAGCTCAGGCACCTTTCTGCTTCACACCTGTCATTCAGACATTTGTCACATTTGAAATTGGAACTGAGGACCCGGGATTTAGCTCAGCGGTTCTGCCGCCTGCCTCGCAAGCACAAGGTCCCGAGTTCAATCCCTGGTACCAAAAAGAAAAAGAAAATAAGAAAGAAATTGGAACTGAGACTTGCTGGGATGTTAATTTACACAAGGTAACCATAACATAAGAAGCCTTTCTTCTATTCTTTTAGGGGAATCAGATTCAGGGCCTTTGTGCTAAGCTGCATGTCCAGCTCTTTCTTATTTTTTATTTTGAGATGGGCTTTGCTAAGTCACCAAGTTGCCAAGGCTGGGCTTAACTTTGTGATCCTCCTGCCTCAGCCTCCCAGATGCTGGGATAAAGGTGTGGGCATGCTTGGCTGAGGAGTGTTTGTCAGTGAGAAGTCAGCAGTCAGAACAAGAGACCCCAAGGGCCGCTTCACCCCATGCGAGGCCCTGAGGTCGCCTGGGCACTAGTTGGTGCCAGACGCCCCACTGTAGAAATGGTCCGGTGTCAGGAGGCCCAAGAGCCTAGCTGGGTTGATGCTTTGAAAACACAAAACTCAAAGTCGGACTTCAGTGCTGAGGGCCTGGTTGTCTGCTGGACGCTGCCTCCGATGACCTGTGCAGCCTTGTCCTGCAGGTGCTTTGTTTGAGGAGCATGGGCGGCAGGGAGCCTGAGACTTCTCACTGGCCCACGATGACCATGCCTCAAGGGCTCTCAAGGAGCTGCTCGTGGCTGCGCCTGACAAGGGCAGAGGGCGATGGAGGCGGCCTGGCCGGCGTCCACCCGGCCACCACTCAGAGGCAAGGCCTGACACCACCTGACCCCGTCGGACCTGGCGGGGTCCCGGGCACAGAGCTGCCTGCCAGGGGACGTCATGGAAGGACCCGTGGAGCCGCGGGGCCCAAGTCGCCCATAGAAAGCCAAGCTGGAGCAGCTGTCCCCTGCCGCCAGCCCAGCGTGGGGCCGGCTGCTGCCCTGCACAGCACAGCAGCTGGGCTGTGGCCCTCAGGTGGGGACTGCCTCCTGCTGGGTCGGATTCCGACCCCGTCTGGTGAATCCGCTCTCCCTCCCCCCGCCGTGCTTCGTGTTCTGGGGCATGCATGAGAGGCTGAGCCGACGGGAGCTGGCCCGCTGTGCCTGCCCCTCAGGAGTCCCGGCTGAGCCATGGGCACCGTCCTCTGCCCCGCGGGGCTGCACTTTGAACTTCGCAGTGCTCAGGGGAAGGAGGACGTTTCTTGACTTGGTGAGTTCAGGTGCTATGTTTGTGACCAGAAATATTCACCTCAGAACAAAGAAGGCAGAGAGGCTTGGAGTTTAGGGGGATGGTTCTGCTCGAATGACCCCAGGCTGCTTCGGCACTCAGCCTGCACGGCAGTGAGTGTGCAGATGTCCCTCGACCCCACACGCGACCGGCATGGGTGCCTGTGGTGGCTCGGCTCCACCGGGGTCTGCGGTCTTAGAGCACGCGGCCTGCTCGTCTTGCCAAGTTCAGCTCCATCCCTCCTCCCCACACCCTTCCTTCTCCCAGACACCCTGTCCTTCGAGGGGACTCACAGCAGGCTTCGTGGAGCAGGTGTCTGTAGGACTGGTGATGTCATCCCGGGTGATCCTCAGCCCTGAACTCTGAATGGACACAACTGTTGCCTTTGATTGACAGTAAGCAGAGGCCCCTGGGTGCCGGAAACAGATAAGTGGAGGCGATTAGCAAACAGTGGACCATTGTGTGGCCCTGGACACCCCCCTCGGCCCCCCTTTCTTCTGGACAGGAGGGCAGAAGGAATAGAGCCAGTGCTCTGTAGACCCTCAGGGAGAACCGAGGTGGGGAAAGAGCAGGCCAGCGGGAACTCGGCGGCTTCTTCTCTTGGTGTGGATGGACCCGGCATCTTGCCTCCCTCTTGAAGAGGCTGCACAGGGCAGAGTCAGGGCTGGCCTCAGCTCCCGGCCACACAAGCCTGGAAGGAAATAGCCCCGAAGCTTGGAGGCCCTGAACTACGCCCTCGAGCCCTCTGCCCTGGGCCTCCCTTGCTCTGGGAGGTGACAGTCCTTTGTGGCAGTCACAGAGAGGGTCTCTGTGAGGCCACCTGCCCTGACGCTTAACCCCATGGATGACCACTTCCTGTCCCAATGTCTGACTGCAGGAGCCCCAGGTCCCTTCCTCCCCACCTCCTGGCCTCACACCCACAGATTAAAGGCCAGAGGGGACTGAAACCTTCCTGTTTTAAGGACTGCCTGTCACTCGTGGGCATGAATGTCAGGGACAGCAGAAGGTCACAGGAGAAGTGAAAGAAATGTCAGAGCCCCGCCCAGAGCCACACACCCAAGGCTCCAGTGTTGGCTGGGAAGCGTCCTGCTCATCAGCACCCGGGGACTGGGCACTGACCCTGCAGACACGTGTGGTCTTTGTTGGTGTGGGCGGCGGGGAGCAGGCTGGGACACCTGGCCTCTGCAGGGGAGGGAGCTGGGATCCCAGCCTGGGTGGGCAGAGGCAGCATCTCAGCTGGGACTGAGGAGGGTCAGAGTGCACACAGGACAGGACGCTGCCCAGGCACAGCCCACCAGGGCCAGGCTGAACACACTGGGCATCGGAGAAGCTCTAGACTGCAGTGCTGGAGTCAGGAGCAATCTGGATGCCTCTCAGGGGACCCAGCGCTGTGTCTACCTGTCCCCTTCCATGGGAGACAGAGGCCAGCAGGTGAGGGCACCAGGGCAGACACTGTGAGGTCCAGGCTGCACTTGGGATGCCGGCCCCTGCTCATCAGAGGACACGTGTCCCCACAGAGGTGCCTCAGAGCCTCAGAAGGGTGTCAGACCCTGCAGGATGACGCCCATGTTGGGCCCCCACACTCGCGGTGGTGCGATCTAAGGTGAAGTCATGAGGGGCTTACACACCTGGGCAGGTTTCCCAGGACCGTGGCTGGGTCCTGGTGAGCCTCGGCCTGCCCAGTGGCTCAGGGCTCACCCCCCACGTAGGCTAACCTCTGTCCCCATTCCCCCTGGCTGCAGAGGACTGGCCGGCCCGCAGCCCACGAACCTCGAAGTAGGCTTCCTGTTACAAGAAGGAACCTCTGTGTAAAATCTGCACGTCCAGCCTCTCGGCCAGGACAGATTAGTGGCCCCTCATGTAAACCCCACACAAAATGGGGAGCCCACAGGCCATAAATCACTCACCTGGAACCTTCCAGGCTTTGATAGAGCAACTATTTCAGGCCTTCGTCCCCCACGAAGGTGGCTGCTGCAGAGCCAGGTTCCAGCATCAAGCCATCCCGAGAGCTCCATCCTTACCTCTCAGCTGGGTGAGCAGAGGTGTGTGTGCTCCTCAGGCCTCAGCCGCTGCACCCCAGGCCCTCAGAAGATGGAAGGGTCCTGGGGCTGGGTAGGGTGTGCAGGTCTAAACTTGGCTCACGGCCTTGGCCTCAGTGTGGTGTTTACAGGCCCTGTCTGCAGGACTGGAAGAGCAGGATCCGAGGCCAAGGCGCCCAGATCCTATCTGGCCCCTCTGGCACTTTCTGGCAGTGGAATTTCTGATGACCGACATCCACCACTTGCAGCCCGGACTTCCAAGTGGAGAACTGGATTTTTTTTTTAAACTTTATTTTTAAATTTTTGTTTACGTATTTGTTTTTCTGAGGTGCCAGGCAAGCACTCAGCCCTGAGTAACATTCCTGGCCAGGCTGACCTTGAGCCCCTCACAGGTCCTCAGCCTGGGTCACACTGTGCAACAGAGACCCTGGTCCTAGCCAGGACTGGCTGCCACCAAGCAAGAGCACACAATTAGCCAGGGCATGGGACCAGGAAAGCCTGAGCCACCCACTGCAGCTGTGGCCATGGTACCTGCAGTCCTGTGGCACATTCAGAGCAGAGCTAGCCTGCCTGGCTCCTGTGGGCACCATCCCAGCACAGCTGGACGTGCTGCCCACTCAGCCCCAGACAATGGGTCTAGAGCTGGTGGGGACAATGGCAGGAGCCACCTGCCTGTCACTGCTGGGGTTAAGTCAGGCCTGCTGTGGCCTTGCCTCTCCAGGACATGGTGTGTGTATGGGGACTACGGGTCACAGTGGTGACAGGAACTCTGGGTGCTTGTGTATAGAGACCGTGGGTCATTGCAGTGACAGGGACCCTGGAGGCCTATGTGTGTGGGGACCGTGGGTCTCTGTGGTGACCGGGACCCTGGGCACCTGTGAGTGTGGGAACCGTGGGTCTCTGGTGACTGGGACCCTGGTGCCTGCGTGCGTGGGGGTTGGCATGGTTGAGTGTGGCAGTAGTGATGGCCGGTATCCCTGATGACGAGCAAGTCACCCATGGGCAGCAGGCTGGGCGGAGTTGCCTGGGCCTCGGGAGCATGTGGGGACGGGGACCTGTGTGTCTGTTCATCCTGTGGGAGCCCTGCTCTCTCTTGCTGTGCTGTGTCTACCTCTCTCCTCGTTCCCTGTCTTTCTCCACTCTCTTCCTCTTTTCTCCCTCCTCCCACTTTTCCACTGTCCCTTTAGACCCTTCTTGCCCTTCTCCCCCTAGCCTCTCAACCTGTGTCTGAGGAATGGAGGCGCCCCCTGCTGGCCCCTGACACCTCCACAGCTACACTGCGTGGCTGGATGTGGGCCGGCTTCCTCCCTATGACCTGTGTCTCTTTCCCTGCAGATGAGATCATGCACCAGGACCTTGTCCCACTCTGTGCTGCCGACATCCAGGAGCAGCTGAGGAAGCGCTTCGCCTACCTGTCCGGTGAGTCCAGGACCTGGCGGAGTCAGGAGATGGTTGTGGCCTGGGAGCTGGAGAGCCACATATAGCAGCCAGGTGGCTCCACACTCACTGGGCAGGGTAGGGCAACATGCTGGCCTGCATGTGTCTCAGGAAAGAGGTTACCTTTGGCTCTGGAGACCCAAGGCCGAGGGCCACGTCTGGTGATGGCTATCCTGCTGGCAGCCTGGAGATGGTACGGGGCAGCCATGTGGGACATTGAGTGTGCCCATCTGCATGTCCTGTGTTCCTCCCTCTGCTTATGAGGCTGCCAGGGCTCAGTCAGGGGCCCCGTGACCTTGTCTAACCCAGGTCTCCCCAAGGGCCCCTCTATACACCAGAGCTAGGCCGAGCTTCCACTCCTTAGGCCTTCAAGTTGGGGATCCAACCTGGCAGAAACCCAGGGACACTCACCCACGTGCCAGGAGCCCACGCAGGATGTGCCCCAGTGGGCCTGACTTAATCAGCCTAGCCCACGGAGACCAGACTCTAGGAGGGAGGGTTTGAGGAGAAGGCTTCACACCGTGGAGGACTCTGTCCTGCTGTGAAGCTTGGGGGTCACCCGGCTGCCCCCCACCAACAAGAACAGGGCCACAGGGAGCCTCTGTCCCCCATGGAGCAGGGGTGTGGTGTGTGATGCCCTCACCTGTCTCGCTGCATTGGAGCCTCCCTCAGGATGTGGGTGTGGGTGTGAAAATGCGCACACGCATGCACGTGTGTGTGTATGTGTGTGTGTGTGTACCCTGTCTGCCACTGCCTGGACAGTTTTAGGGCAGGGAGGAGGCAGGAGGCGGGGCTGTCTGTCCTAACACATCTGAGTGTGGAGAAGGGGAGGGAAGGGAGTTGGAGAAATGTGGGGGTGGCTGCCCCTGGGAAGAAGTACCAGGATACTTCGCAAATTCATCATGCTTTTCAGGACACTGAATATTTTCTTCAGTTTGCATGCATTTCTTCATACTGAAAATACAAGTCAGGTGGGGTGGTACAGGCCTGGAATCTCAGAACTCTTGGAAGCTGAGACAGGAAAGTTCATTTGAGTCCAACCGGGGGAACATAGAGACCCCATCTCACAGTAGAAAATGAAAAGGGCTGGGGATGTTCAGCCTGAAGGACCTGGACTCAGTTCCCAGTGCTTCATAAAAACACAAACAAAACCAAACAGAATTCCACAGCCTGAGGAACGCTCCTTGTACCCTGGTGCTTGGGAAAAGCAGTGGATGTTTTGGGGAGCAGGGGGTCCGAGGCCCTGCTAAGTGTTTGCTTCGTCTCTCCAGGTGGACGGGGGCAGGACGGAAGCCCAGTCATCACCTTCCCTGACTACCCCGCCTTCAGTGAGATCCCAGACAAAGAGTTCCAGAATGTCATGACCTATCTCACCAGCATCCCCAGGTAGGTGCTCCGGGCTGGGCACTTGGGGGCTTTGGGAGGTCACCCGACCCCCAGACCTCAGTGGGTGGCAGGGTGAGTTCGCCCCATGTCCTACAGCCTCCTTTAAGGACAGTAGCTGTCACATTTTCAGCCAAGCGTTGGTTTTGTCACATTAAAAAGAATTCCACTTCCCTGTTGGACCCCTCCCGTGGGAGGTGGAGATAGGTGCTCAGTGCGGCCGCGCCACCTGACCACTGCTCACGGCCATGGTGAAGCACTGGACTGGGGGAGACGGGACATGTGTAAGAGAGTGGACACTGGCCTTCTGACTGGGACGAGTGGTGTGTGGACACCTCGGGCGTGGCTGGAGGAGTGCTACCTGGCATGGTGACTCAGGGCTCTCCCTTCCTGGGAGCTGAATCTGATCTCCCAGGAGCTATAGGCCACACAAGTCCTACACGTCCAGCTCTGGAAGATGTGGCCCCGTGGCCCTCTATGCCTCGAGGAGTCTTTTCTTCCCTTCTCATGTCACTGCTTGGGATGAGCTTAGGGTCCTGGGTGCAAGAGAACCAGGGGCTATGGGGTGAGGGCATGACTGTGCAGCTCCAGGGCAGTGCACAGGCACACACAGGCCTGCAGGTCACAGGGAAGGGCACTCTGGAGCGGAAGGGTGTGGGGCCAGGGCCAGGGCTGGAGCAGCCAGATGACAGGAGACATCACACTCGGGGGAGGGACCAGCCAGGGATAGTCGGTACAGAGCTCTGGGGCCAGCTGGCCTGCTCAAGGCCAGCCCAGGAGGCAGCAGGACCACACAGGGTGGGCTGAGGACAGCTGGGGTGAGGGGCTCTAAACCCCTGTGAAGAGCCCTTTGTCCTGGGAGCTGGGAGCCAGGCGCCCCCTGACCCAAGCGGATGTGGGTGGGGAGATGGCAGAGGGGCCACAGCTCAGGGCCAGCAGAGGGGAGGTCATGGTGGCGTCTCCTGAGGATTGGGTATTTAGGGTGGCTTCAGTTCTTTGGTGTAGTTGCCTTTCCATAACTGCCCTAGTGTGATGACCCCTGAACACAATAAGAAAATAAAAGTTGCATGGGGATGGCCTTACTTCAGTTCATGTGCCAGGCTGCGTCGCTATGTTCATACTGGCCACACCCCTCGATTAGAGACAGGGTGGGCATTGTGACCCCGCATCCTTCCCAGAGCCATGGTGGCCATCACCTGTGGACGCCGTGGCCGCTGTTATGAAAGAAGTGGGTGGGGTACCGGCAGGGTCTGAGTCTGTTAGCTGCCACCCCTGGGGCTGCCGGTGGCCAAGGGGAGCTATAGGACACAAGTCCTGTGATGGGGTGGGATGGGGAGCCCCTGGGCTTCAATGGTGCGGACAGTGGTAGCCAGCAGCCTGCAGCTCTGAAGTCAGGCCCCCAGAGGAGACTCGGTCCTGTGAAAGTTGCTCCAGCCCCTCAGTTGATCCACACAGGCTCCGTTCCTCACGGGGGTCGGGGGCAGAGGGCCAGCTGCATCGGCCACACCAGGGCTGCTCCACTTCAGGGTGGCCTCATGCCTGCCCTGGGGTGCCATCCCTGGAGGTCCCGCACAGTGCAGGTCTTTGGAATTGCGCGTATTCTCTGAAGGGCAATGCACAAGGAGAAATGATCCCAGAAAGGGGAGGGGCACGAACTTCTGTAGGATCTCTTAGAAAAAGCAGAGATTTTTCCTACCAGCAAAAGTGTTGCCCCAGCATGTGTCACCTCTTCCTGTCCCACCTGCCCTGTGCGCCCCATCACACAGCACAGCTGTCTCTCCCCAGCCGTCAGTGCAGCTCCCAGCCCCACACCCACCCCAACACCTTCCCTCCAGTGCTCCTGCCCGCAACTCCCCGACCGTCCACCCTTCGCCTCTTGCCATGGGCTGAGTAGTCAGGCTCAGTGCTCCAGCAGCCAGGCCCCGGCCCCAGCTTCCCTTCTTGCTGTTTGGCCCTGAAGTATCAGCATCTCCATGCCTCAGTTTCTCCATCTGAAATGGTGGCGGTCCCTAGGAGGGGTTGTGGTTCATATCTATATGTTCCCCAAGCCTCATGCCTCCTACATGAGGCTTGGGAGGTGACTGGATCGTGGGTGTGGTGCTCATCAGTGGATTAGTGCCCTGTGAGTTTGTAGCTGTGATGCTGGGAGGAGAAGCCTGGTCAAGGAGGTGGTCCCTGGGGCGTGGCCTGGAAGGTTCCTCTCCTCCCGCTTCTCCCTTCTCTCTGCTTCCTGTCCACCATGCCCTGAGCAGCTCTCTGCCATGACCCTGTGCCCTGCTGCCCTGCCTTGAAGCGAGCCGACTGTGAAGTGAGCCAAATTAAGCCTGTCCTCTTTAAGTCTGGGTATGGAGAACCGTGTCCCAGCAGTGAGGACAGTGACAGCGGTCTCTGTGCAGGGCTCACTGCAGAGGGCTCAGAGAGGCTTGACCCCCACTGTCCCAGGACGAGAAGGTCCTCCCGCCCTCCCCACCCCGGGACTGGCTACAGGTAGCTGGATGGGTCCTGGGAAAGGTAGAGCCCAGCATCCACCCCTACTGGCGCAGACCACGCTGCTCCGTGCCCTGCTCCACCTACACCCAGGGCCAACTGCAGGCCATGGGGCCACTGGAGCCACAGGCCTTAAGGAGCCACTGGCGTTCCAAGACTGTGCTTTGTTCACTGGTCTTGGGCTCAGTGGTGAGCAGTTCATAGGAAGACCCTCCTGAGGCCACTCCAGAGGCTGTGTGGGCATCTCTGGGTGGAGCCACAAGTGCTGGGCCCTTCCTCATCACCTGCTCACCATTTCCTTCAGTGCCACCGGCAGAGCGGCCAAGGCCAACGGCTCATGCTTTCTGTCCCCTACGAAATAAGGTCCTGGCCTCACAGGGTCACCACAGTCTTGTGAACAGGGGCTCCGCAGCCACACTAGGGAGCAGAAAATCTGCCCCCAGGACAAGGAGGCCACCTGCCCTCCGTCCCGTGCCCCACCCCAGCTATAGCAGAGCAGGCAGCTCACGGGCTGAGCCCTCCTGCCCTGGGACGGCACAGCTAGCTCCCTTAGCCGAGTTCCTGGTGCAGGTTTCTGAGTTTGTTAACTTCCACCTCCTTGCGTTCTACCTGCATTCAAATTTGAGTTGTTGGTAACTTGGCTTTTCTGTAAGAAACAAACGCCGCTTTGTGACGCTGGTGGTTCAGTGGCCGTCATGATGTGAAGGCTTCTGTGTTGTGGGACTTGGAGCCCCAAGTGTTTTCTGTATGGAGAGTGAAGACCCCAGTCAGAACCCTCAGAGGGGACCGCTGCATGGCCGAGGGTGCGGGGGCCAAGGCACTCCTGGCAGCTGCGCAGAGACACAAGGTGACCAGAGTGACTCACATTGAGCAGGGCCAGGAGCTGTGGCTGTGGGGCAGGGGCCAGGGCCGGGGGCGGGGGGCAGATGTGGGCCACAGAGGTGCAGTGGTGGGGTTGGAAGCTCGCCAGGGCCTTGAGCCAGAATAGTTAGGGGTCTCAGAGTACGGAGAGACTGGAGTCTGAGGCTGCCGCCTACCACACCCAAAGCCGTTCAAATATGCGGGAGAGCCGGGGATTTAGCTCAGGGGTTCAATCCCTGGTACCAAAACAAACAACAAACCTATTGAGCCAAATATGAGGGAGAAACTGAGTCAGGCTTTGCTGCTCTGTGAATCAAGCTCAGCAGCAGTAGTGTCAGTGCTGATCTTGCACTGCTCCAGAGCTCCAAGCCAAGACACTGCTGCCACCTTCGAATGCAGAGGGCTCCAGGTGGCTGGCACTGACTGAATGGGGCACTGCAGAGGGGTGTGTCCCTCCCTCGCTGCACACACCCTGCTGCAGCTGCTGTCAGTGAGCCCTGCAGGGCCACCTGGGGGCTTCTCGCTCCCCCAGTTTGGGTGAAAGCAGGCTGCTGGCTGAGGCCCGCTCTCCTCTGTCACTAAGGGAAGCGTCAGGGCCGGCCCTGAATTGGCTACACAAAGGCAGCCCCAGCAGGTACCCAAGGGGATACACGGGAAGGCAGTTCCGTCAGCCAAGCCGCGTCCTGAGTCCAGCGCCGCTGCAGCTGCACGCAGACTCACCAGAGGGCATAGCTGGGGCCCTTGGCGGAGCACCTGTCCCTCTGGCGGCTGCATGATGCCACCTCCTCCCCACTGTGTCCGGGCTGAGCAGCAGGGTGGGATTCACCCATTGCTGTCTCGAGATAGGGAAGCTTCAGCGAAACCCTGCTCAGGGCTGCCAGAGAGGGGCTGGGCACCTGCAGCGCCAGGCCCAGGCGAACATGGGCCTCTTCTCTGGCTCCTCCTCTCCAGCCTGCCAGCAGTGGGTCTGAAACCCATGTGGAGCAGTAATAGCAGAGGGGCTACTTTGCATGAAAGCGCGCGTTCATATGTGCATTTACCCTGTGGTGCTTAGCTGTCACTGAACTAGATCCCCTGCCCAAGTGGAGCCCCTCTCTGCACATGGTGTGAGCACTGCCCGAGGGCACAGACACATGCTCTGTGGGTGGCCGTCGCGTCCTCAGACCAAGGCAGAGGTGTTTATGGTTCACCCTCATGGCGCATGGTGCTTGTCAAACGCACTGCAGAACCTGATTCTCACTGTGACCCAGAAACGGCCAGCTCAGCTCTGCCCAGAGATCGGAAATAGTGACGCCAGCACCATCCTGCATCTCCTCGCTTCTGCCAGGCATCGGTTGGCGGCAGCGGCTGCTGGCATCGTACAATTGACTTGGATGCAACAGCCTGGCGGAAGCAGCCCTCTGCGCCCACACTGTGACTCAGGCTCCTGCCGCCTGGCTGGTTACACAATGCGGGAGCACAGCTCCCTGTGACTCAGATCCCGCTGCTGCAGAGGGCGAGAGCCCACCACACTCCCGACGGATGCGTGTGAGCCTGTGGGAGCCCAGCGGGCTCACTCCCAAGCCTGCAGCGTTGGCACCCAGAGTGCTTTCCTAACACGGACGAAATGGGGACCTGAGGCGCTGGGGTGGACGTGATGTACAGGTCCTGGCCCTTGTTTTGGAGTGCAGGAGCCAGCTCCAGGGGAAGGAAGTGACCTGCTGTGTCTTGGATAAGATACCCAGGCTCGGGGAATGACGGCACTGCTGGCCTCTGAGTAGATGAAGCCAATCTCAGGCTGAATGTCACCAGCATCCCAGAGATTTCTGCCCTCCTTCGAGGACGCAGGCCCTGGACGTTACAGGGTGGGGCTGCCTGGCCTGGCAGGCACGTTCCTTGTGCAGAATGGTACGGGGAATGGAAGCCAGGCGCACCCTGCACACGCTAACTGCAAGCGTCTCTCCTGTTTCAGTCTGCAAGATGCTGGCATTGGATTCATCCTGGTCATCGACCGGAGGCAGGACAAATGGACCTCCGTGAAGGCTTCGGTCCTGCGAATAGCTGTGAGTGTTGTGCCTCCCTGCCCCACTCCCAGGGCAATGTGCTCCACGGGAGGGCTCGGCCAGAGCTGGCTGCAGGGGGCGGTCAGTGTGTGTACAGGTGTGTGGGTGTGCAGCATGTGTTCACACGTGTGTGCATGTGTGCAGCATGTGTTCTTGGGTGATTTGCTCTTGGAGACTGCTGTGATTGCACTTGCTCTGAAATCAGCACAAAGTTCTGAACAGGTAGGACGATGAGCGTAAGCCGCCTTCAGGCTAGGGTTTGGAAATTATAGGGAACAGCTTTTCTAAGCAACCCCTTCCTTTCCTACCCAGCTATTTTTCCTTCACCTTCCTTAGCATCCCCTTCAGGCACCTGGGGACCTGCATTTCCAGCTGCCTCTCTCCCACGAAGCTCACAGCTGGCTTCTGTGCTCTTTCTGCGGCAGCCTCGGGCGCTGGTGTTTTTAACTCATAGCCATCATCCCAGGGGTGAGGGCGAGGGCCAGGAAGCCCCAGGCTCATCTTGGAGGTGCGCACTCCTCCCACCGCGGAGGCGTGTGTATGTCCCAACACCCACGCTCTCTCCCCTTCCATCAGCTCCCAGCCTGGGAGGGACCAGGAGTTGGGTTGTCTGCCAGGAGGGAACCCTGGCTGTGGCAGCTCAGTGACTGGACAACTGACTCCCATGAGGGTCACCATTCTGCAGCGTGTGGGTCCCCTGCTTCTCAGGGCTGTGCCCAGGTCCAGGCTCCCAGGAGGTGCCATCACGTGTCCTCTTTGCCAGAGCTCATATCTCACGGCTGAGCCCATCAACGCCTGTCCCTGTCCCCACCTGGCACGCGCTCCCTTCACCCTCGGTTCCTGGAAGGCACGGTCGCATGAGCTGTCCCATGAGACACGGGGGCCTTGTACAGTCAGCCTCTGGCCTGTGTCCGCAGCATCTGCACAGTGCTGTGATCAGCCAGCTCTCCGTGTCCCCAGTCCCACTGCACGTGTAGGTCCCCAGCACATGGCTCTGATGCAGGCGCATATGGGACCCACTTGGAGGAAGCTGGTGTGGGCACCATGCCCTCGCAGGTGCCTCTGTGATGCAGTCAGTCCTGGTGGATACAACAAGGTCCCTGGCAGGTGTGCGTCACTCCACAGGAGGCTGCATGGGTGTGACGTGCGTGACAGCAGCAGCATCCCGACCAACCCAGTGCCCCTGTCAACTACCAGTGTGAGGAACCATGGTCCTGGATCCCTGGTCAGGACTGCTGGCGTCCGCTCCCCCTGGGGTCAGGCCCTCTACCTGCAGTGACCCTCCAGCCACCTGTGGGTTCCACACATGCTGACTCACATTCACACACTCCTGCCCAGTGCCCCCCTGCCTTGGGTCCTAACTGCACTCTTGGCTACCTGAGCATGGAACCTAGGTCACACATACCACATGTGCCACGGTACCAGCGCTACACACTTCGCTCCTGCCTTAGGTGATGGAGGTCCCTGGACACAAAGCTGCTTTTTAAGAAATGCAGTTATTTCTTGCCAAAGCTGGAAGTGGTCCTGGTGAGACTGCCCCAGGCCGCCAGGCAGCCTACAGCAGTCCAAGTCCAGTGAAAGTGTGGTTTCATCCTCTGTAACGTTCAGAATCAGGCATTTCTGAAGCAAGTACCGTGAACTTTAAAGTTTCATTATGTGGAAATCATCACTGAAAAATCAGCATCTGAGTTTTTCGTGAATCTTGAATCCATGAGCGGTTTAGAAAAGCAGAGCTTAGCATCTGTCCCTCCAGCTGTCCCAGTTGCCTTGGACTCGGTGCTTTCCCACTCTTGGGATTTTCTGATGTGTATCCCACATGCTCTGGGTGCCAATGCCCGGCACTGTGCAGACCTGGGTGTGAGCAGGAGGCCCAACCGGCCGGGAGCAGCAAGGCCCTTGAGGGTGGTGGCCGGGCACAGGCAGCATTTGGGAGTCTGTGCGTCCTAGTCAGGGTTGGGGCAAGACCCCGAGAGCCAGGCCCACTGCTGTGCCGTACCAGAGCCCCTCCAAGTGGCTGGGGCCCCGAGAGAAGCCTGGTGCCTCAATAGCACCGGGCAGAGGGTCGAGCAGGAGACCTCGGGACTCTGGTGCTGCTATATTGGGGAAAAGCCAAGTAAGGCCCAGGAAAGGGAGCAGGGTGGAGGACAGTCCAGTCACCTGCAATCAAGGAGAGCGTGGGTGGCTATGAGGCTCTGCAGGGAGGGCAGGGAGGATATCCAGATTCTGTCCACACACGCTGCCCATGGCCAGAAGGGCACCGCACTTCGCCCTCTGGTGTGGGCTGCAGCCTGTGCCTGGGGGCTGCACTGGGGTGTCCAGCCGGAAGCTGGCACTGCAGAGGCAGGACTGGGGGCTTCTCGCTCTCTGCCACTGCCTGGCCTCCTGTGAGACCACACTTACGTAATGCCCCAGACTGCGGGCTATTCTTAGCCACTGTGCATGCTGGCTGCTGCACTCAGCTGCCCCCAGGAGTTCGTTTTTTCTTTGCTGGTGCCTTCAGCTTGGCTATCAGTAGAAAAATAAGAGGTGGCAAGAGCCAGAGTCCCGTGTTCCTGAATTAAGGCACCCTGTGCAGGTCCAGAGTAGAGTTCAGTTGATTGCAACCAAGCGTTGGCGCGGGAAGTGTCTCCCCAAACAGGTCCCTTGTCACATCCAGCAAGCGCAGTTGGTGACAGTGAGGCCAAATGCAGGATCCAGGCTCCCTCTCTCAGTCACAGGCTGGGTTCGGCGTTTGGGTGCCTAAACGGGTGTGTGTTTTCAGAATAGCTGAGTGTACGCCGATAGCTGCTACTGCAAAACCTAACCCCGGCTCCATCCCGGTGTGTGTGAGCACATGTGGAGTATGTGTCGACGATTAGGGCTGGTCTCATTCAAATGGAGCCCATGTCCTGGGATGTTCCTGCAAGGAAACTGAGCTCAGAGCAGTTTGAGAGTACCGCTGGGTCGGTGTGGGCAAGCAGGGTGGCCCTGTGCAGCTGCAGTCTCTGCCAGCGGGAGAGATCCAAACCAAGCACTGCAGAGCCTCCAGCCCAAGGTCTGTGTCAGAGCACCTCTGCACCCAGCCCTGCTGCTGTACCCTGGCCCTGTGGGGTCCTGGGTTCAGGGAGGAGCAGGCTGCAGGGCAGGGAGAGCTACCCAACACTGGAGAGCTTCTCAGTGGAGTCAGCGTTGTCCCAGTGAGGGGCTGAGTGGTGAGGCTCAGGCCAGAGAGGCGCCTCTCACAGACCAGGCAGCAGGGCCCAGGCCACAGGACAGTGGCCGTGCAGTCATGGCCCTCACTAAATAGGTGGAACTGCGGTCTGAGGGGTGGGGACCCCACAGTGTGGGCAGCCAGCTGGGACCACAGGGACAGGGACCTTGTGATGGGTGAGGACAGCTGGGAGCAGTCACCTAGACGTCCCTGTCCCCAGAACCCAGCTCTTGTCCCACCGCAGGACCCAGTGCTCCGGGCAGTGGTGAGCTTGTCCCTGCAGAATATTCCAGAGGAAAGGGTCAGAGGCCTGTTAAGAGGACTGTCCTCCCTGCAAACTACAACAAACGGCGTGGATGGATGAGACCACCCGAACAGACCAGTGAGGGCAAAGAGGTACAGACTTTATTCACCTGGGCGGAGGTGGGCAGACAGCAAGCGAGAGGCTTCCAGCCCTGAACACAGAAAAGGCAGGAAGCTTTATAGGGCATCGGGAGCGGTCTGGCACGCCTGGCACGTGTAGGGGTCAGAGCGAATATGTGTGCTCGGGGTCCATGCAGCGGTCAAGGCGGGTGTGTGGATATTTTCAGGTGACTCGGCATGGAGAAGACGCTGTACTTCGTAGTTGTTACCTTGTGTTGGGAACATCCCGTCCTGCGCTCTACGTCCCAGATAGCATGGCTTTTCAGGCAGAGAGAGCAACGGCTGCCTGTTTTGTTGTGGTTTTTCATATCTTGTCAAACTGTAGCTTGGAATTAAAGGGCATATTCACTCACCATGCCACACCAGATCGAGCCTGACACAGCATTATCCCTTCCTGTTCCTCACTAAATGAAGCTTCTACACAGTGTCCGTCGCAGTCTCAGCAGTCAGGGGCGGGGATCTCAGGGCCGCTCGGGCCCCACTCCCCTCCTGCAGGACCGTGACCCCCGAGGTGTGGGCGATGCAGCCCCAGGCCGCCTGCTCCTCGCCTGCGCAGTGCTGTGCTGCATATCCCCAGGTGCCGGTGGAGTGCGTGGGCACACAGCGTGGGCGGGGTGTGGGCCTGGAGGCTCTGGCTCTGTCAGCCCCTGTGGACCACGCCCTCCATGCAGCAGGACCTCATCCCTCAGCCCACTTCCTGGGTGCGTAGGGCTCCTACACATGAACAGGACACCTGTGTCCTGCGGCTGAACATGGATCAGGAGGGGGAAGAGGCCTCTAGCAGAGAAGAGAGGCCCATGGGTCAGTGCCTCTGTCCCCGCAGTGCTTCATCCCAGAGAGCCTCAGACCTGTCTCGAGGGTGTAGAGGGCACAGTGCCTCCTTACACAGCCACGGGCGTGACAGGCAGACACACCCCACTCGTGCAGAGACACAGAAACACCTGCACACATGCATAGAGACACACATGCACAGCCACACACTCTGACACACACGCACACACACAAGCTGTCCGCTGGCACAGGCACAGACCCCCTACAGCTTAGGTGTGCCCTGTGGACAGAGCCGCCTGTGTGGCCACACCTGTGTCCTCAGGACAGAGCTGCAGGGTGGCCCTGTCCACACTCAGGATGTCGGTTCTGGAGCAACACCTCTGTCCAGTGAATGGTGCATAACCAGCCTTCCACACCCTTGTGCCTGTTTGATCTTCTGCTAAAACCCACACCCGACTAAGGGTGATGCGTGGCACCCACTGTCCCCTCGTCCGTCTCTGGTCCACTTCGTTGTTGCGGTCTGTGGAGACCTGAAGTTGGTCTCCTGCAGCTCTGTCCCACTGGCTCCTCACACCTGTCCCTGCTGGTCATCTGAGGACCCTGTGTTCTGGGTCCTCTCCTCTGTCATTACCAGATCCTCCAAGATGGTGCCTGGGGTGGCCTTGGGTGGGCTGAGTGTCCGTGGATCGGTTTCGCCTGACCCATGGGGCGGCGTTGGCCCCCACGTGGCTGTGTCTGTGGCCTGTGGTCCGTGCCTGCCTGTGGCCACTGCTCCCTCCCACTCAGCACTCCCTGTCCTCCTGCGGAGAGAAAGGCGTTGCCTTGACCCTACAGAAATGCACACCTCACAAGGAAGAGAGGAGCTCTGGATGACTCGGGGGTCATGCAGCCTAGGCCTGGGGAGGTGAGCCCAGCCCTTGAGGGCGGCGTGCGGGGGTCATCCAGGGTAGGAGAGCTGGCTGTTCCCTGGCAGCGGGGGCTCCTGGACCCCCAGCCTCACTGTCACCCGGGGGAGGTAGAAGGCTTTCACATGTACCGCATCCCCCCGAGACTCGTTACCAAGAAGCACAGGAGGATGTGCCATGCGATGTCCGGGTGGTGCGGCCTGCGTCCCCGGGAGCCAGCGTGTGTGGGCTGTGCAGTCCCTGCCCTCTGCCTGCCCGCTTGAGCATCTGTAGTGCAGACTCAGGTCTCTTCGTCTAATGCCGAGGCACAAGGGCCCAAGTGCATTTCAGTGTCACCTGCACGTTCGTGGGCAGCTGTCAGGCACATCTGCCTGGCCAGCTCTCGGCTGCTGTTTGAGATGATGAATTGGCAAGGGCAGGCTGGCTGCAGTGCGTGGCTGGGGGCCTCAGTCTTCGTGCCCTGGCTCTGTGGTTTCTGAGGTGCTCTCGGCCTCACCTGACGTTGTGATTTCCCACCAAGTGTCTAAGAATATCCACAGAGAGCCAGTCAGCGCCTGTTTCTGCCTCCCAACTCTGTTGGGTCATCACCCCTATTCCTGCTCCTGAGGCCATCCGCATCAGCCCAGGAAGTAGGCGGGATGGCTTTCGTGTGGGATAGAAACCTACTGCTGTTTTAGGGTCACTCGATTAATTTACAGAAGGACATTGTTTGTACCCTCCATTCCAACCTTCCATCTGCTCATCTCTATTTTTTAGTTAAAGTTATTATTTCAGAACTTTCCTCAGCTTTTAATACAAAAGGTTGAGTCCAGAGTGAGGTGCCATGCGTGATGGCACACACCTCTAATCCCTGGGTTCTGGGATGCTGAAGCAGAAGGATCGTTAAGTTCCAGCCCAGCCTGGCAACTTAGTGATTTAGCAAGACCCTCTCTCACAATTTTAAAAGATTTAAAAGGGACTGAGGACGCAGCTCAGGGTGAATGAAGGCCCTGGGATTAATCCCCAGTATCACTCCCACAAAAAGTTGGCTCCAAACCAGAGAGAACTTAACTTGCTGTTGTTTACATCCTATGTGTTTCTGTACACTAAGCCTCCTCACTTGGCTGCGATCTTGCAATTATCCTGCTCAATATGAATATTGCATAACTTACAAAATGGAAATCTTAAAGCAGAGGGCTGGGACGGAGGAGTGTGCCCATGTCCCCCCTCTGGTGGTCCAGAGGGTGCCCGAGGCTGCCTGCCCTGCCAGAGAGCTGGTGTCCATGCCTCGCTTTACGGGTAAGGGCCTGGCTTTGTCCCACAGGCTGCAGCACTGCCTGACCCAGAAGCTGGTCTGTGACATGTGACGACCCCTGTACGCAGCCCTGAGTGCTGGGCTCACCAGGTGGTAAAACCGCAGAGTTGGGAAAGCGTAGTTCGCTTTCACCTCCAGGCAGCCTGCTGGAGCATGGCGACCATTGTCACCAGCTGTGCAAGGTGTGGGGCTCCCCTGGTCGCCCTGAGCAACTTCAGGTCCACATGCACATGTCTAGGTTGCTGTTTTTGACAAGTACGTCACTTCCTCTGACAAGGGCCTGCACACTGGGTGGTTCAGACAGATGGGATCTGGGTGCTCTGTTCCATTCTGGAGCCTGAACCTAGGAGTGACAGAGTTGTCCCCGAGTCTATGATGAGTGCTCTGGGTACCTGGTGCTCCGTGGAAGTGTCGCCGCTGTCTGCCTCATCTTTATGTGACGTCCTGCTGTGCACACCAGGGTCCAGAGTCCCCTCCACATGAGGAAGTCATCGGCAGGGCCACATCGTTGCCCACAGCTGCCCTGTGCAGGCCCTGTCCCCACCGAGGTCCCCTGTGAGTGCAGGGAACTTGCACAGACAAGCTTGAGGGGCGCAGTCCACCCGAGCCTCTGCCTCAAGGCTTGGAGACAGCAGGCCTTGAGGCACTGCCAAAGCAACCCAGGCCTCACCTGCCCCCGAGGACACCACACCCTCTTTCTCCCAGGCATCTTTCCCGGCAAACCTGCAGCTGGTCCTCGTCCTTCGCCCGACAGGATTCTTCCAGAGGACCCTGTCAGACATTGCCTTCAGGTTCAACAGAGATGACTTTAAGATGAAGGTGCCGGTGAGTATGCCCTGTGCTGCAGGCCGGGCTGGATCAGGCGCCTCCTGGACCCCTCAGTCGGCCTCGGGCTATAGCCAAAATCAAACCCTGCAGGGCGTGGTCCACCCCCACCCCTGTCCCCGTGCCCCCAGCAGACAGTGCACGTGTGCCACGGAGACCCTGTCCTGTCGGACTGTGAGTCACAGATGTCCCCACGCCTTGGGGCAGGTGTCCCTGGGCCTGTAGAAGACGCCTGGGCCACCCCCCCGCCCACTTTGGGTGCATCACTGCACTGTAGCGTGCTCTCTTGTCCCCTAAAGAACAAAGCCTCTAAAGCCCCCAAAGGCCGCTGTAACTCAGGAGACAGCGATGCCTGGTCCCACCTCTGTGGTGGCTCCCATAGTGGCCCTGGGTGCTCGTCCCTCTCACATAGGGAACAGCAAGCAGGGACAGAGCTAGCTGTGGGGCTCCCTAGCAGTGCCCCCATCTCCTCAGGGAAGCAGAAGGACCTGGGCGCAGGTGACTGCCTACTGTTCCGGGGTCCTGGTGGCAAATGCCCGCTTTTCTGCCCCACGTGAAGCCCCATCCCTGCCCTGTGCCCCTGCAAGCGAGAGCCCTGACTTGAGCACAGCGGCTCCCCGGTGTTGGGCTGTCCCACTTGTCCTGCCTCAATGGCCCTGCCCACCTGTTTTGTCTGAGAAGGCCCTGCCACCTCCGTAGCACCCACATGCCCCAGAATGGTTGTGACTTGGAGGCTGGGCGTGCAAGTAGTGACGCAGCAGCAGGACATTCTGCTTGGTGAGGCCGCCGGGAGGCACCTGTGGGCTCTCTGTCTGGAGCCACCCTGGTAGCCCGTAGGGTGACAGGCTCTCTCTCAGGTCTGTGGGATGCCCTGCTCCCCAGTGCCCCAGAGCACCTGTGTCTAGGCGGTGACTCCGTCCAGCGAAGTGGGCACTGTGCTCTGCAGCCCGTTGGGCAGTGGTGTGTCCCATGGCCTCATGCTTAGAGTGGCACTGACGAGCCCACAAGCCCCCCTAGCAGCAGCCCACACAGGACGACGCTCAGTGCAGTCTCAGTGCAGAACGGCACAGCGGCGTCAGCCAGCAAATATTCCTCACCGAGGCACCTTCCCCAGAGAGTTAAATTCATCATGTTACCGTGACCCATGCACCTGTGTTTACGGCAGCACTGCTCACATTAGCTGCATCTGGGAGGCAGCTCAGATGTCCATCCACAGATGAACGGATAAAGAAAGTGTGGTGTTTCCACACAATGGAGCTCTGCTCAGCCATAAAAAAGATAAGCTTGAGGCATTTGGTGATGCACTTAGAGACCATGATGCTAAGTGACATAAATCAGACACATGAGCTTACATACATCATGGTTTCTCTTACGTGAGAAGCCCAACATGTACGTAAATTCAAGAGCAAAGTCATGGAAGATGCTAGGAGACAGGGAGACAGATCTTCGGCAAAAGGGAAGGGCACCAGGAGATGTGGAGGCGGTTGAGAACGAGGGTGGGATGTGCCCGCACACGTCTCCGCTGCGGAGTGTAGTCATTAGGGCAGAACCCACCACGCACCGCCAGCTCACTGACCCGCAGACAACTGGCAACTGCCACAGGGTTGTCTGGAGGACAGGCTGTTAGCATGCACAGCACAGGAGTGGAGAAGCCCCGAGCACGCCTGGAGCCACGTGGGGCTCTCAGGACCTCGAATGGTGACTCGGCCTTGGGTCCTGGCAGGGCCAGGGCTGTGGGCCGTGGAGCGGAGTTGCGTTGGAGCAGAGCACACTGTAGTCTGCCGGGACTCGAGGGGTAAGCTGTCACGTTACAGTGGCCAGTGTGCTTGGCCGGTGCTGGTGACAGCCATGCATGCTGGCAGGGTCACCAGGTCCCATGCGCTCAGCTGAGCACCACCCTCGACTAATCCAGGGTTTAATAATTCATGGAGTGGCATCGAGTAACAGCCAGCCCAGCCCTGCGGACCTGCTCTGCTCTGCTCTGCTCTGCTGGATCTGCCTGACAGCTCACAGAGCAGAGGCTAAGTTTTAGCCTAAAACTCAGGCTGGAATGGCCTCAGGCAGGAGAGCAGGAGGAAGAGACGCTTCAGGGCAGGAAGCTTTGTGTGCCGAGCAGATCCTGAACTGGGGACGGCATGTTTGGGATCCCAGCACTCTGGAGTCTGTAGGCTGCCCCCTCGGGAGGTGGGGTTGCGCACTCGGTGTCAGAGGTCCCATTGGCTGCATGCGAGCTCCTCTACTGAGGCCCGCATGTGTCCCCAAACCACCATGGGCCCTCCACTGTGAGTAGGTAGGATTCTTCACAACATGCCCATTTTACAGATGAGGAAATGGAGGCACGGAGAGAATAAGCACCTGCAAAGTCAGGGAGGTTACAGCTGGACTTAAACCCAGGTCCACTCGAGTCTGACGCCCAGTCACCACCCCTGCCCGGCTCCTCCACACCTGCTCTGCTGACTGGGCTTTGTTCTCCCCAGGTCATAATGCTGAGCTCAGTGCCAGAACTGCATGGCTACATCGACAAATCACAGCTGACCGAGGACCTCGGGGGTACCCTGGACTACTGCCACTCTCGCTGGCTGTGCCACCGCACGGTGAGTCTGTCCCCATGCCCTGCAGCCTGCGTCCTCTTCACGGTTAACCCAGCCAGGCTGCTTCTGCACCACGACACAGTCTTCTCCAAAAATGATCCCAGCAGTGCAAGTCTCCCTCCCCAGGAATGAGGAGATGGTCTCAGCAGACCTTAGTCATCTGAAGAATAACATGAGTAATAAGTTCGGGAGTGGTTTGCTCTGGGCCTGGAGACAAGAAAACGCACAACCGTGTGCTGTTGTGGTTTCAACACAAACACACACTTAGTGTGGAGGGCGACAGACGCTGGAGGGCCAGCATGACTCTAGGAGATGGGGCCATCCGCAGGGCCTGCCTGGTAGGTCTGGGGGTGCTCGAGAGTCGGAGCTGGGCCGGGGTCACTTGCACAGGGCACAGCGGCTCCAGGCTGCTCCTTCTCTGAGGCAGGCAGAGCTCGGTGTCTGCTTTCAGGAGGCCGTGTGCACTTGTGCAGCCAGCAACCAGCATGCTCCTTTCCAGGCAATCGAAAGCTTTGCCCTCATGGTGAAGCAGACGGCCCAGATGCTGCAGTCCTTCGGGACTGAGCTGGCGGAGACGGAGCTGCCCAACGACGTCCCGTCCACCAGCTCAGTGCTGAGCGTGCACACGGAGAAGAAGGACAAAGCCAAGGTACGCGCGACTCCCGGGGGCTGCAGCGAGAGCACGGCTCTTCCATCCTGTGTAGGAGCTTCCCAGATGCCCCGGTGACCCTGTGAACCCTGCAGCGTCACAGCCACAGTGGCCTTTCCTCCAGCATAGCCATAACTCCAGTCCGAGCCAGCTGGTCAGGGGCCACCCTCCGTGAGTGGTGCTCAGTGGCTGGAGAGTGAAGGAGGCAGGATCCCCGCTGCCCTCACCTGCAGGCAGGGAAGTGGTGGTGAATCACAGCCTAAAATACACACTGCGCTCGCTACTTGCTTTCTGGGGTAAATAAGCTGCCACAGCCCGCCAAGCGTCCCGAGGATTCTGCTAGCCACACTCTTGTTCCCATAGTCAGGCTTTTGCCTGCACAGCCCAGCTTGGAAGAGAGATGGGGGTTAAAAAGGCTGGTTTCTGGTTACGTTTTTACCTCGCCCTGATGCCCAGGTGACCTGTAACCCTAGCTCTGCCCTGGTGCAAGCAGGAGTGAGCCACCGACACCTCCCTCTCCAGGGTGGGGCAATGTGGGCACAGTCACACGGAAGAGATGGTGCATGATGGCCCAAGGTCTGAGCATGTGCCCATGTGGACAGGGGTGCAAGGCTGTGATTTCTCCACAGGAGGATCTTCGGCTGGCACTCCGGGAGGGGCGGGGCATCCTCGAGAGCCTCCAGGAGCCACCAGCAGAGGGCACTGTGCAGGGTGTGAACCAGGACCAGCTGGACAGCCAGGCCACAGTGCAGAGGTGAGCCATGCCAGCTGGGTCCTCACCGCACAGCATGGGCACTGGGTCAGGACACAGAGGGCTCCCACCGGGTGGGGTGCCAAGATCCTTGGGGCACCACGCCAACCACCTGAGGCTCAGTTTCCCCACCTGTCAAGTTCAGCAGTCAGAGAGGCCTACCGCGTGTTGGGCTGGAGCAGGCGTTGGAGGCTGCTGCCCCTCACCCTGAGTCAGAGCTGAGGGTGCCCCACGGCCCCTGCCCCTGAGCTATGGGTGACTCGAGCCTGACCTGGTCTGGCCAGGTGCCCCTGCTCTGAGGTGAGGAGGGTGTCCCACTCTGCTGACCTGCCCCCACCTCAACAGCCCGAGGATCAGGGTGACGATCCTCACCTGTGCCCACTCCCTTCCCAGGCTCCTGGCCCAGCTGCACGAGACCGAGGCTGCCTTCGATGAGTTCTGGGCAAAGCACCAGCAGAAGCTGCAGCAGTGCCTGTGTCTGCGCCACTTTGAGCAGGGCTTCCGTGAGGTGAGGCGAGAGGCGGGGTCTCGAGTGAGGGCGGGGCCTCAGGGAGCAGGGGTGGGGCTTTAGGGAACAGGAGGATGGCGCAGCGGGGTGTGAGCGTGGGGCTCGTATGGCTCTGGGGTGGGGCCTTAGGCCAGGGGCCGTGCTTGTGGATGAAAGGCGGGACTGGCACAGGACCCCCTTCTGCAGCTGACATCTGCAGAAAGAGATGTTTGTAGCTTGTTTTTGTCTGAACTAGAGGCCTCTTCAGAGCGGGTGACATTTTTAAGAAGCATTTTATCTAGGGTCCAGGGGCAGCTATAAAGAGTAACCGCAGGGATCCTATGCCCTCCTAAGTGCCCCAGTGGTGACAGAGGTAGCAGGACACATGGCACATCCTCAAGACTGCACAGCCCGGGGCAGAGTCCCTCTGTGGGGCCAGCCATGATGCCTACTCTTCCCGAGAGTGGAGCCCTCTGCGCAGCTGAACGGGCTTCTCCAAGGGCCCTGGCTTGCATGTGGGTGTTTCTGTCATGTGGCTGAGCAGAGCAGCTTCCGGGGACGCACCGAGCCCCCACCCGTGAGGACTGGGATGTGCCCAGGTCGTGACGTGCGTGTCGGTGTGCTGGCATCTGTGTGCCTTTGGGTATTCTCACTCTCCGTGCCCGATAGCCGGTCTGCACATGCTGTCCAGCGTTCGTGTGGTCACTGAGTTTATGTCACTCTCCCATCTGGCGGGTGCGTCCTGGCTCTCATGGCCCAGTCACCGCCTGAGGCCCTGCCTGAACACTGCTCCTGGGCACCGAGCCCTGAGCACAGACAGGCCCTTGGGGATGTGCTCACTGAACTGCAGTGTCCCGCCGGCCTCCTGATGCCTGTGCAGCTCCCTGCATCCCAGGGGAGACCGTTGGGCAGCATCCTCTGCCCTCCCCTGCCCCTCCTGGGTGTCTGCAGTGAGCTGCTGGCTGACAGTCGCTGGGCGACATTGTCCAATCCATTGCTGTGCTGTCTTGGAGTCGGAGCCTTGGGCTGTTCATATTTAATACCCTTTTTACTACATTAGGACTTTACTCTGCCATTTTTATTTGTTCATTCTTTTTGTTTTTTCTGTTTTTTCCTGTGATCTGTTTTCTTCTTCCTGCCTTTCTGTGGTTAGTCGAAAGTTTTTCAGAACTTGGCTTTCTCTAAATTGTAGTGTTTTGGGGGTTTATCTCATGATGCAGGTTTTAGTGGTTGCTCTGAGTGTTTCGTTGCCACGTACTTATGTGCTGTTCTGTCGTGTGCAAACTGTGTGTCGTACACACATGCGGGCCTCTAGAGGGAGGTGAGCCTTCCTTCTCACTCATCCTCCTGTTTATGCAAAGTTACCTTGAAAATTCTCCCTGCCTGCGTTCAGAGGCACATCAGTGTTGAGCTTCTGCTATCAAACAGCCTAGAAACGTGAGCAGTGAACCCGTCGCCTGTGCGTGTGCAGGGTCCAGGACGAGCGAGTCCTATCCTAGTCCCACAGCCCCACAGCCAACAGTGTCTGTGTGCACCTTCACTCTCAGGGTGACGTCTGACAAGAGCAAAAGCTTTCCTAGCTAAAGTGTTGATTGGTGTAGTTTTTAAATTTTGGAAGCTAAATGTGGTGGTCCACACCTGTCATCCCAGCCGAGGCAGGAGGATTGAAAGTTCAAGGCCAGCCTGAGCAATTTAGCAATTTAAAAAGACCCTGTCTCAAAATGAAACATAAAAACTCTATTCTGTGAAACCCTCTGTCTTTTTGCCAGTGCCCGAAAATAGGGTATTTGGGTTACTCTGGAGGTGGGAAGGAAGGAGCCTCAGAACTCCCACCCTTTCCGGACCCCATGGGGCCATGGACAGCACCAGCTGCCATCCCTTCGGCTCCCAGGTGTCCCTGTGTGTGGGTGGCAGGCTGAGGCGCAGAGAACTGACTACCCTGGGGCCCGTGATCCCTGGTGAGCAGGGGCAGCTTGCAGTCTGGCTGTGTCCCAGGCTCCGTCCTCATCCAGCCCTGGCTCCCTGCTGCTGTCCCAGGCACAGCTCTCAAGTTGGCCTTCTCCATGCCAGGTCAAAGCCGCACTGGACGCAGTGTCCCAGAAGGTAGTGAGCTTCACGGACATCGGAAACAGCCTGGCACATGTGGAGCACCTGCTGAAGGACCTGGCCAGCTTCGAGGAGAAGTCCAGCGTGAGGAGGGGGCAGGGCAGGGTCCCCACCTGGCCACCCACCTCGGCCTCAGGCCATGCCTGTCATGAAGCGCGGTCATCTTCTGATTCTCCCTGTCCAGTGGTGCTTCTGTGGGCCAGGTGGCTCCGGTTGCCTCTGGGTCCCCAGGAGCCCTGGGCCCAATGTAGCTCGGGATGAGGGACACCATTAGGCATAAATGAAAATGATGTCCTTCCCAAACCCTGCATCCAACACCCCAGAGGATTAGAGGCCCCAGGTGCCTCTACCTAGAACACCCGAGCAGACTTTCTTTGTCCACAGGTGGCTGTGGAGAGGGCCCGTGCCCTGGCACTGGAGGGAGACGGGCTCATCGACAACAAGCACTACGCCGTGGACTCCATCCGCCCCAAGTGCGAGGAGCTGCGGCACCTCTGTGGCCAGTTCTCCGCGGAGATCAGCAGGAGGCGGGGGCTGCTCAGCAAAGCCCTGGAGCTGCACAGCCTGCTGGAGACGGTAGGTGGCCCCTCCACCCCTGGACTGCTGAGCTGAGCAGCCACTGACAGGAAGTAGCCTCCTGCCTATCTATGTTCCTCTTTCTGTCCACCTGGAGGGTTTGGTCTTGACAGGTGCCTCAGCCTCCAAGAATTCACTGCCACGGTAGTGATTTCTGCCCGGGGACCAGAGCCCAAGCATCATGGTCCTTCCCTTCCCGCTCTCCCCATGGGAGAATGCAGTCCTGGGGAGCCTGCCGCACCCCAGGGAGCCCTGGACGTGGTGTCAGAAGTGTGATGCGCCAGGGCTGTAAAGCTGCCCTACAAACGTGTTGGTGGCAGGCGGCACGTGAGGCGCTGCAGGACGCTTTGGGCAGGGCCGGCGAGGTGCCGGTTCGGACCTCGATGCTCTTTTTCCAGTCCATGAAATGGTGCGACGAGGGCATCTACCTGCTGGCCTCACAGCCTGTGGACAAGTGCCAGTCCCAGGATGGCGCCGAGGCAGCTCTGCAGGAGATCGAGAAGTTCCTAGAGACTGGTGCAGAGTACAAGATCCGGGAGCTCAATAAAATCTACAAGGAATACGAGTCCATTCTCAACCCAGACCTCATGGTAACGCCAGCCAGGGCTCCCCAGCAGTCTGGTCCCTCTGGACATCGGGGGTTCGCTTCTAGGAGGGGGCCCCGGGACCCATCATGCCCCAGTGCCTCTTGACACTGCGTCACCCAGGCTCCTCCTCACCCCACTCCCAGGCACCCTAGGGAGACTGAGACCACCATCCTCCCGTCCCTCCCACTGTTCCCCACTGTGGTCAGAGCTACACAGGACGGGGTGTCCTCAGTGACTGGTGCTGATGTGGCCAGGGGTCTCACAGCAGTGTCATTCCAGGAACATGTGCAGAAGGTCTTCCAGAAGCAGGAGAGCATGCAGGAGATGTTCCACCGCCGGCAGGCCAGCCTCAAGAAGCTGGCGGCCAAGCAGACGCGACCGGTGCAGCCCGTGGCCCCCAGGCCGGAAGCGCTCACAAAGTCACCTTGCCCATCCCCAGGTGTGTGTGGTGGCCTCTTGCCTAGAGAGCCAGGGTCCCACTGTGGGCCCCACAGAAGAAGTGCCCTCCACGTACTCCTGCTTGCCCAGCCTGGGTGCAGCCAGCGGTTAGCGGTCTGCCAGAGCTGTGCAGCCCATGCCCAGGCTCCCGCAGGACTCGGCCACAGGTATCTCCTGTGCCTTGTCTGTGGCTGCTATGGCCCTGGGCAAAGGCAGAGTTGGGTGCTGTCGGCCGAGTCTGTGCTGAGTTCCTAGGCAGCTTCGTGACCCCTGCCTACCATTCTCCATTGCAGCCAGAACGTCCTTCCTTCCTCGGCCCCAGCCTGCACAGGCCCTTCCTGGCTGCCCACCTTGACCAAGCCGTGTCCTGACCCCACTGGCCCACAAGGGCTCACAGCCTCCACTTTCCTGGCCCTGCTCCCTGCCCTCCTTCCAGGTCAAGGCCACACTGTGCATTTCTTAAAGATGCCCCTGTCCCCTTACCTTAGAGTACTTCCTGTCTCTTTCTCCATGGTTTCCTCCCCAAAACCCAGGAGTTTAGGGGGCTTCGACATGTCAGCCATGGGCCTCGGCCTTTGGCAAAGGTCACTCGCTAGCTAGTGCCTGGGTGGCTTCTGTGTGTGTGCTGGGGCAGGAGAGGCTGCTCTCCCACCCGTGTGGAGGCCCCTGCTCAGTCCTCCCCCTCCTCTGTCCCAGCTGTCCCCTGAAGTGGGGGACTCGCTGCTCAGCCCCGACCCTCCCTGCTTCCTAGCCATCTCTCACCTTACCTCCCCTGTCCATGGCCGCCTCCTTGCTTCTCTCCTCTGGGCCTCCTATGTCTTTATCTGAGCGCTGAGGAAGGCTCAGGCAGAACTAACACCTTTCCCCACCTTGCTCCAAACCAGGCGCCTGGCGTGGACCTGAGAACTACGGCTCTGAGGGCAGCGCACTGCGGCGGGGGCCCTACCGCAGGGCCAAGGTGAGGCCATCTGCTGCCACGACCCAGCTGTGTGCTGCCACCACCCCATGGGATGCGAGCTTCACTGCCACAGCTCCCTGTGAAGCCCATGCCCCTCTTGTGCCCATGCTGGGCCTCCACAAGGCTCACCCTAGGGTGTGCAGGCCCCAAGGCTGTATCTGCCCCTCAGGATCATCCCTGGCAGGAATTGGTGGCTCCAGGCTCTCAGGCCCCCAGGGCACCTCCCCTCCTCAGGATTGTCCCCATAGGATGATGCCTGATCTGCCCGTACTGCTGCAGCTCCAGGCTTTGAGAGTCTATGCTCCTTGTGCTCTTCTCCCACAGAGTGAAGCGAGTGAGAGCCGGCAGGGCAGGGGCAGCTCCACAGGGGATGAGGAGGAGAGCCTGGCCATCCTGCGCAGGTGAGCACCGGCCTCTGGCCTGTGTGCAGAGCTGGGACACACATGGGTGGTGGCATGCACCAATCCGAGCTCACGTCCACTGGGCCTGGAGTGACCGGCCACGCTACTGAGTCCTTACGGGGCCCTGGTCACCTCTCCCATGGAGGGAGGCTGCCTCCTGCCAAAGGCAAGTGTAGGCCGTGTTCAGAGCGTGCCCAGGACCCCGTCATTGCCCTCCACTCCTGATGCTGCTGAGACCCTGCCTGCTATCCACATCCAGCCGAGCTGCCCCCTGGGCCCTCGTCGGTCCATGGGCAGCAAGTGAGCAAAGCCGTAGGGCAGTCCTGGGAGCATGACCGGACCAACGTGGACACCAGGACCCGGGAAGCCAGCACCTCCCACCCCAGAAGGCCCCATACACCTCTCTGTCACCCAGGCCAAGCACTCAGATGCCCAGAGAGCAGCTCTGGGTCCAGTTTTGGGGAAAGGATGGGTGGAACTGGATGGAGCCACAGGGGGCACCACCTCCTGCCTCCCCTGGGGCGCTGCCTGGCACCATCACCCAGGAGCCATCATCAGTTGAGGCCGGGGAGCCACAGCTGAGTGTCACTTCTGGTCCACATGTGGCCGGTGTGCCACAGGGCAGGGCTGTTTCCGCTCGTACCTTGTCCTGCCCTCCCGGCCCCAGGAGCCCCGGGTCATTGCACTTGGGTGTTGTACGTGAAGAGTAGCTCTTGTCCTCACTCAGTCCCGCCTGGCCCAGGGCAGACTATCCTGTGTAGCAGGCACAGGTGCACAGGGAGAGAGGCCTCGGCACACAGGCGTGTGGGGCAGCAGTCAGAGCCGGGCTGTCCTCGCCAGCCAGCAGAAGGGAACTGGGACAGATGCATGTGTGGGACACCACGCCCTCCGTGTCTGCCCTGCACGCGGATCCAGCAGACACCTGGCCTGAGCCTTTGACTGTCGTCACTCTGAGGTTCAGGGGAAGATGATGTGTGCACAGCAGCCCTTGCCAGGGGTGCCCAGCAGGCATGGTGCTGTCCCTGTGGAGGCCCAAAGATGAGTGGACGTGTGCTTAGATGACCCGCACAGAGACGGGCTATTCCTGCGGGGTGCTGGCCCGGTGGGATGAGGAGGTGGACGCCAGAGAAGCCTCCAGCAGAGCACAGGCCAAGGTTCACAGGGCACAGCTCTTGGCCTGACTGGGCACCGGTACAGAGGGAACCCCGGCCGCCACACCAGACCCCTGCCCACGTGCAGGACCGGACCCCTAAGCCATGTGTGTCAGACAAATGGCGCTGAAGCCTTGAGCCAGGAGTCCTGGGCTCTGGTGACTAAGGATTATAGATGTGTGGTCCTCATCTGGGAAGGGTCTGAGTGGCCAGTGTGAAGCCTGCCTTCCCTGCCTCACAACTGCCAGATACAGGAGGGAGCTGGCAGGTGCTGAGGGGTGGAGAGACAGACTGCCTGACTGGGGAGGCTCGGGCAGAGCCTTCCTGGTGGGGCCATGGGCAGCATGGTCACTCACCAGTGCGGGAGGATAGGGAGGTGGCCCAGCTGGGGGCCTGAGGCTCATGGAGCAGCAAACCGGGACAGGGAATGCCAGGAAGGTCCTCTGCTCTGGACCCATCCCTGAGTCCCCGGTGCACCTGCTACCCACCTGGCTCTCACATCTCCACCTGCCCAGGCACGTGATGAATGAGCTGCTGGACACAGAACGGGCCTATGTGGAGGAGCTGCTCTGCGTCCTGGAGGTAAGGTGGCCGGGAACCAGGTACTATGGTGGTGCCCGTTGCCCCAGTGTGCAGTGTTAGACTGCTGCTCTGCATGTCTGTGTCCCGAGAGAGCGTGTAGACTTGGCACACCGGGAGACTCAGCTTCCCTCACAGGCTGGTGTGCGACACCCACCAGGGAGGCCTGTGGGAGGAGGCCACTGCCCACACACGGCAGACTCGTGGCTGCCCCAGGCACCGTGGCAGGGAGACCGGGTGGAGGAGCCAGTGCAGCTGTACAGGTGGAAAGTCCTGGGGCCAAGCTGCATGCCCTCCAGAAGGCCCTGCCACCTCCCAAGCCCTCCAGGCGACCAGCAGCCAATGGTTGCAGCCTGGGCTCGCTCCTGCACGTGTCCAGGCAAGACTCACACCCTACGGCTGCACAGAAGGTCAAAAGGGAGTCAGGTGTAGCCTCCACCCTCTCCCAGAAGGGCATGCATTTTGTGGCTCTGTCTTGGTGTCCTGGTGCCCTGCCAAATGGCCAGTCCAGAGTAAACAGGAGTGGGCCTGCTTGTAAGCACCAAGACAGGCGGGGCCTCCGGCCTCCAGCGTGCCAAGACCACTGTCCCGTGTGGCCGCTAGGTGGCCTCCCCATGGCCTGGCCCTCACCCCTCGTCCGTGGGTGGGAGCTACCGGCTGACCTCTCCCCGTCTGGCAGGGCTACGCCGCAGAGATGGACAACCCTCTGATGGCCCACCTCATCTCCACGGGCCTGCACAGCAAGAAGAGCGTGCTGTTTGGAAACATGGAGGAGATCTACCACTTCCACAACAGGTGGGGCCGCCCGCACTGCCACCCCGTCCTGCCCGGTGGGGTCAGACTCATCCAGGATGCAAAGTCAGAGCCACAGACGTGCCCATGTGACTCCTGGCCTTGCCAACAGTGCCCAGCTGGCCAAGTTCTAGACTCCAGCTCCGGGAATCAGGAGCAGGCGGCCCCTCTGTCCCTCTTTGTCCTCTAAGGGTGCACCTTTGGCATTTGGGCGCCCTGATGTCCACACTGCCAGGCCGGCTCTGTTCTCCAGCCAGACCACTCAGAAGGGACAGCAGGCCGGACGCTCCTTCCCTGTGTCCCTGCCGAGCACTAGGGCTATGTCCCCAGACCCAGTATGGCTGACCCATCCGGTGTGGGTTCTCAATTCTTCTGTGCTGTTTCTTTGCCGTCATACGATTTATGGTAGCTCAAGGGAGCAAGGACAGGGTTGCCCTGCCCCAGCGTGGTGGGAGGAGAGGTGGACAGCCCATGCCTGTGACCTGCATGTGTGCAGCCTGGGCCAATGCCCACCCACCTGGGAGCTGTTCCTATGCAGGACTCTCCTTAGCATCCTCTTGGCCATGCCCTGGCACCAACCCCACAGCTCTGAGTGCCGAGTGGCCCTTCCCAGGACAAACGGAAGTCAGAATGTAGAGGGCATTCCCAGCTGTCGACAGGAGGCCCCTGTACATGTGCTCTGTCCCCTCTGTCCTTGCCCTTCTCCCACCTCTGTGCCAACACCAAGGCAACTCCAACTCCTACACAAGCGCGAGACAGGGAAACAGCTGGGGTTGCTCTCATTGAGTGTGTGGGATCCCGGACAGGTATAGGGTGAAGGCTCCCCACTGGTCAGGCCGGCACTGTCGCCACAGCCTCTGGGACTGGCCGGAGTGGAGTACACGAGTTCCCTGGAAAATGGTGCGCTCAGATGACTCAGTGCAGACCCCTCCTTGTAGGATCTTCCTTCGGGAGCTGGAGAACTGCATTGACTGCCCGGAGCTGGTGGGGCGCTGCTTCCTGGAGCGGGTATGTTCCCCCTTGACAGCTGCCCTGCCCCAGCTTCCCCCAAGGTCCCTGAGCACCGAGACTTCAGATCCTCTGCCGCTGCCCTTCCGCCCAGCTGACCCACCACGTGCATGTGTCTCCCTTCCTCATGGCCAAGGAAAAAGAACAGGGCTTTTAAAAAGCGAATAGCTAGCTCCAAAAAGACAAAAACTAGAAAACAAGAGCTTTGGGAGGTAGAATGTTGGCGTCCGGGGTCTGGTTTTTCCTGACTTGGTTTCTGTCTTGGTCCTACCCTGACCATGCCTCCCAGCTTGCTGTATGATGCTGAGGAATTGGTGAAGCTCTCTGAGCCTCGTTTCTCCTCTGGGATGGTCGGCATCTGTGCGACGGACTCTCACACGGAAGGCTTGGGGAAAGCCTTGAGCAGGAAGGGCCCCGACATAGGCTGTCTTCCCACGGGCCCCCAGATCCTGCCATGTCAGCACCAGGAACCGTGTGCTTAGCATCCAGTAAAGGCTTTTCTTGTGAGCAGAAAAAGGAAGTGACTTCATGAAATAAAGAAGTCGAGGCTGCAGCCGGCGACGGGGAGAAGGAAGGAGCCGTGCTGTCCTGGCTCTCACAGCTGCCCTGCATCTATCCTAGCCCAGTCTGAGGATGGGCAGCGCTGTTCTGTGGTCAGGGTGCTGACCAGCAGCAGAGTCTCTGGGTTGAGGGCAAGTGGCTGGCCCCACACTGTCAGGAGCTGCTAGGCTGGGGCTACCCCTTGCGGCGGCGGGGGCACTGTGTCAGCCTGGAGGCTCTGTGGAGTAGGAAGTCTACTGATGGAGCTGGTTCTTAATAATGACAGTGATATTGTGGCTGCAGCAGCCCTGGGAAGTGAGCATTTGAAGCTAATGTGAAGCGGGACTGAGCTGTGATAAATGAAGGAGTCTGAGGGGTAGAGGAAGCCTGGGGTAGGAAAGAGGCCAACACGGTAGATGAGGGGAGGCCAACATGGCGGGTGGGGTGCAGCAGCCCTACCACGAGTCTTCAGTGCCGCACACTCACTGGCTATGTGGGCTGCCGACTTCAGCGGTCCTGTCGCCCATGAAACATGGTCATAGTCACAGGCGGCTTCCAGCACAAGGCCACCCAGCCCCAGTGCTCCACTTCCACAGTGGCCTGGAAGCTCCACTTTGGGCTCAGGGCTGAGGAAGTAGCTGGCTAGGGACAGTGTCAGGCTGACGGCCTAAGAAGGGCCGGGGCCAGGGGTGTCTGTGGCTCTGTGAGGCCTGCACCTGCCCTGGAGCTATCTGTACCCTAAAACCAGCTGTGTCCCAAAGTACCCACCTGTACCCCAGACCACCTGCTCCCCCAAACCATCTGCACCTTAGAGCCGTCTGTACCCCAGAGTCCTATGTAATCAAGAGCTGTCTGTACCCTAAAACCTCTGTGCCCTAAAGCCATCTGCACCCCAAAGTTATCCGAGTCCCTAGAGGTGTGCAAGGCAACTGCACCTCACACCAGTTCTGGTTTGTGTTTTACAATTTGCAAAACTGCCTGAGAGACCCTAGAGTTTTATTTAAGTAATGATCAATTAACACTGTAAACCGCCTTTGAAAGAAACGACGCAGCAGCAGCCTGGCAGGCCCTGGGGTGGTCATAGGGCCCAGGCTCCCTTCCTTACTAGACAGCAGGGCCCGCAGCCATGAGGTCAGGAGAGACGCTTGGGCAAGCAGTGTGTGTGACACATGTCTGTCCCTGCCTGCCCTGCAGATGGAGGACTTCCAGATCTACGAGAAGTACTGCCAGAACAAGCCACGCTCCGAGAGCCTATGGAGACAGTGCTCCGACAGCCCCTTCTTCCAGGTACCCTGGGCCCTTCCCCCACGCCACCTCCTTACTGGGGGACCTTGACAGCGTGGCTAATCTGAGGCCCTGTGCTCGCAGGAATGCCAGCGGAAGCTGGACCACAAGCTGAGCCTGGACTCCTACCTGCTGAAGCCCGTACAGAGGATCACCAAGTACCAGCTGCTGCTCAAGGTGGGCCCCCGCGCTGTGGCCCTACTGTGCATCGTCCTGGTGAGGGTGCAGGACACAGCTGAGCATCCTCCCTTGGGCTCCTGCTCATATAAAGCAGTGTCCCTGTCTGCAGGCTGTGCCCTGTGTCCTGAGGCCCCCAGCCCCTCAGGAGGGGTGGGAAGGTGTAAGCTGGGAGACCCCATCTGCGTGTTTGCCCAGAGACACAGGAAGCAGCTTGCAGCTCGTGTCCCCGGTGGGAAGAGGCAGGAGGAACTGGGCCTGCACCTGCCAGACGAGCTGCTCTTGGCCCTGTCCATTGGCCAGCTGCAGTAGTGAGCAAGCAGTGGAGCCACACAGTGTGTCCTGGGGGTCCAACTGTAGGCCCAGGCCTGCCGGGAACATCGGCGCTCCCGAACAGTGGGGACGCATCCGTGTGTGACATGTGCTCAATCCCCTGCTCACCTGCAGGAAATGCTGAAGTACAGCCGGAACTGCGAGGGGGCTGAGGACCTGCAGGAGGCGCTCAGCTCCATCCTGGGCATCCTCAAGGCCGTGAACGACTCCATGCACCTCATCGCCATCACTGGCTATGATGTAAGGGCCGGTGGGGTGGGGACGCCTGTCCCATCTCATCCTGATGGGGTCCGTGAGTGGTCCCAGGCGCCTCCCATCCACTTCTCCACCCCCCACACTCAATGTGGGAACCTGTGAGGACCAGGCTCTGCACCAGGGTGTGTGGCCCCACACGTCCCGCCCCTCCACTAACACATGTGCCCACGTTTCAGGGCAACCTGGGCGACCTTGGCAAGCTGCTGATGCAGGGTTCGTTCAGTGTGTGGACGGACCACAAGAAGGGCCACACCAAGGTGAAGGAGCTGGCACGCTTCAAACCCATGCAGCGGCACCTTTTCCTGCATGAGAAGGCCGTGCTCTTCTGCAAGAAGAGGGAGGAGAATGGGGAAGGATACGAGAAGGCGCCATCCTACAGCTACAAGCAGTCCCTGAACGTGAGTGGGCAGCCGGCGTGTGTGGAAGACGCCAGGCAGGTGGCCCAGGGCTGTTCCTGCTAGTGAGGGCTGGGACTGGGCCACCCTGGGGCGCTGGGCAGGAGGCCGGCTGCCTCCACTCTAGAAGCACTCCGCACGGCCTTCCCTTTGCGCCCCGTGTCTTCTACAAATGGGTGGAGGCTTCCGTGAATACGTGCGTGGTGACATCCATCTCCCGGCCCTGTGCTTGCCAGATGACCGCCGTGGGCATCACAGAGAATGTGAAGGGTGACGCCAAGAAGTTTGAGATCTGGTACAACTCGAGGGAGGAGGTGTACATCATCCAGGTAGGACCATCACCCATCCGCAGGCAGGTGGCAGGGAGCCCTCGGGCCTGTCACAGGACCTGGGATCCACGCCTCATACTGAGGCTCCATGGGAGCTGTGCAGACTGTGGTCCCTGTGTGGGCTATGGGGCAGCGTTCTTTCTTTGAGCCCCAGCCAAGTGCGGATGGAGCTGTATATAGGTGGCCACCCCGTCACCTTCAGATTCTAAAGCACGGGAAGACTTGGTCCCAGCCAGGTCCCTTCCTGCTGTCACCTGGGCTGCCAGGCCCCACAGAGTGACCACAAGAATAGGGCCCTACTCTAGCACTAGAGGATCCACATCATCAGAGGCCGGTGGCCTGGCAGGATCCTCAGTGGGGCCACAGGCCTCTGGCTGTCCCACTGACTACAGCCCCTGGCCCAGTGCCCACCTGGCCACTTAGGGTCCAGCTCATCTGCAGACGTCAGGCTCACCTTGTCCTTGACACCTAAAACAGTGTCAAAGCACGGCTGCTCTGGAGACCCTTGCTCCAGCTGGCGTTACACTGTGGGGTCTTCCAGAGTAGCTGGTGTCCCCGACCATGCGTGGGCCTTCCACCCTCCTGCTCTCTTGGGAGTACACTGTCAGGAGTGGGGCTGTCCCTGGATATACCTGTGGGCCCTACCTGCCGACCCCTGGCATTTCTTTTGGACACAGGCGCCAACCCCCGAAATCAAAGCAGCATGGGTGAGTGAGATCCGAAAGGTGCTGACCAGCCAGCTGCAGGCCTGCCGGGGTGAGTGCAGGTGCCCCCTCCAGAGACCATGGGCCAAGAGGGTGTGGGTGCCAGGTCACGCGGTAAGTGGCCCGCTCCTCCCTTGCAGAGGCCAGCCAGCACAGGGCCTTGGAGCATTCGCACAGCCTGCCTCTGCCTACACCAGCCAGCACCGTGAGACAGGGGCCCTGCCATGTGTGGGGCTTCTGCTCACACCAGCCAGCACCAGGTGAGCCAGGCCCTGCCATGTGTGGGGCTTCTGCACACGCGTGGGGTCTCTGCCATCATGGAGCTGCTAGAGGTGGCTGAGCTCTCCCCAGGGCCCCTGCGTGTCAATGGGGGGGAACCACAAGTCCCAAGTGCCACGCCCAAGGTGTCATGCTGGACCCATTCCTGCCAGCTGCGGAGTGGGAAGAATCACAGGCAGGACAGGCAGGGGGACCTGTCGGACAGGCAGGCACCAGCTCCGGGTGTGCTGGGTTGTGAGACCCACAGTCAGCAGCCAGCGCCTGTGGGCGTAGTCCAGGGCCTGCTCCGTCTTCTCCCCTTCATTACTTTGTTCCTTTGCTTTTTATTTATTTATTTATTTATTTGCTGTGATTTCCTATTTCTTAGATAAGTTGTCTGTATTTTTTAATTTAGATCTTTGTGTTCATTTGCACATCAGCAATGCATAATATTTTCGTTCCTCGTGGGGAGCTGGTGCATGGATGTCACACAGCCCCACGCTTTTTCATTCCTTTCCCCTCCCCTCCATCACTTGGTTCTCTTCCTATTTGTAAAAGATCTGTCTTCTTGTTTCCTGGTGTCTTTTGTTTTGTTCTTTGTATTTGGGTTTCTCATAAAAGAGAAGCCGTGTGATATTTAAGTGTGTGTGTCTGATTTATTTCACCTACCATTGTGTCTCGAGGTGCATCCATTTTTCTGCACACAGCTTAAGTCTGCCCTTCCTTATGGCGCATGGTGTGTTAATACCACGTCTCTCTGCGTTCATCACTCATGGAGTGGGGTGGGCCTGAGCGCTAAGCCAAGCAGCAGTTGCCCCAGAGCCGCTCCCTCCGCTTGGCTCCTCTGCCGTGGTGGTCTCTGTGCTGGGGAGAGCAGGGCTGCTTCTGGGGTCGGCCTGCAGCCCCAGATGTCCCTGTGAAAAGCCAACCAGCCATGTGCTGTTTGCTTCCTGTTGCACCTGATGTTGCCAGTCCCTCAAGAGGAAATATGAGAAACACCAAAAAGCTGGAGGAGAGGAAGACAGACTCCCTGAGCCTGGAAGGATATGTGAGCGCCACCCTGTCCAAGCCCGCCGAGAAAGGCAAAGGTGGGTGCATGGCTGTGGCCTCGGGCCAAGAGCTGAGTCCAGTCGCCTCCAGATGCCACACCCCTTGCGCGCTGCCCTCACCGCTGTCCCTACACCTGGCCAGGGCCCGACAGGCTCTGTCTCTCTCCCTCCTAGATGACGCAGTCTCTAGCTCTGCCTCTGAGAGCTCTGCGCTGTCCAGAAAGCGCTTCACCCTGCAGGGCTTTGCCAGCCTCAAAGGGCAGAAAGGTAATGCACAGCGCGAGGCCGTGTCGCTGTCCCCACGCGCAGCCTGCTCCGCACAGTGCGTGGCCATCCACACTGCCACTGTCCCTCATCTGGCCTGGCCCCAAGGCCCCTGTCCACATCTTCTTGCTGACCACTGTCACAAGACCCTGCCGTCATCCTGTAGGGCCGGCTTGGAAGCACGACGGCCACCGTGGGCACAGGGCCTGCTCAAACCACAGTGGTCACTTTGCTGTCGCCTGCTCCCCGCCCTCACCTTCCTGCCTCCTCCCTTTCTTGCTGAGCACTCACATTCTGCTAGGCATTTGCTGGTGAGCAGCCGGCAGAGGCAGCCTTCAGCTGAGATGGGACCCGCCCTCACCTGGGTACTCCTGGTGGCCCAGCCCTGGAGCCAGCCCTGGAGTGCAGGTCCTCCAGATTCCTCCCCACACGCATGGCCAGGGTGACCTGGGCCTCTTCCATGACGGACACTGGCCCAGAGAACCAGGGATTTTCTTCTCCCGGTTTTTAAATTACTTTTCATTTGGCCTCAATCCCAAAAGAAACAAGCTCCAGGTGCTCTCTGTGCCCTTGTTAACGCAGAGCCGGGAGCGTTCAGAGGCCGCCCATCGAGGATGGCCCACGACCGGCCCTGCCATCCTCTCGCCACTGCCAGCTCACGCTTTCCCATCCTGTGACCCCACCGCATCTCACTGCCACCCCCTCTGCTGCTCCTTCATCCTCTCCTCTTCTCTCTCCTCTGTGATGTTTCTGCCTTTCCTCCTCCTGCAGCTTCTCCTACCAGTCCTGACAAAAAAGCTAAGCGGCATGAAGTAAAGAGCGACCCGACTCCCTTTGGTTTGCGAGGTAGCGTGGCTCAGCCTCCGGTGCCAGCTGGGAGGGTCACCTAGGCAGGACTTGCACAGGTCCCGAGCCAGGAGCAGGGCCCAGGGATCCCATTGTGAGCTGGGGGACAGAGGTGGGGGACTTGTGCTACTGCTGTCACCAGTGGCCCTTGTGGCTACGGTGCTGTTCACAGGCCCCACGCAGCAGCAGCACCATCCTGCATTGCAGCACACAAGCCATGGGACCGGGCCGTCCTCCCTGCATGGGGAGTCCTGATGGGCTTCCAGCTCCCCAGGTTCCAAGCCTCGTGGGCTGAGGAGCCGGAACCGGGGTGGGTTGCATAGTACAGACACATGCGCTATAGATCTTACACACGTCCCGGGCCACAAGCAGACTGCAGCCCAGCCTGGCCCCAGAGGCCACCACACCACCAGCTCCAAGTCTCTATGCCTCAGAGCCCGATCTCCCACCCCCAGGCACACGGACCCGTGTTTCCAGCTTGCACTGCCCCAACCAGGTGCTGTGTGGGGTTGTTTCCTCTGTCCCTAAGCACTTTCTCCCTGAGCCCTGAGCCATCCCCACACTCGGCCCTGAGGGGCTGTGGGACACACCTGGCCCAGAAGGGGTGGCCTAGAGACTGGCTGGGGGCCACACACTACCCCTGCCTTGTCCCTGTGGGCAGTTTACTCTTGGCATGCGCCTGCTGCCTCCTGTGAGTGGAGAGGGTGCCTCAAAAGGCTACAGGGACAGTGGCAGATGATGTGTCCCCTCCCCACCCTATGTCAGCTCGCAGGAGCCCATGTCCCAGATGCCTCCAGAGAGTCCACCAGCCCCCGTTTGTTCTGCTGCAGGGACCATTCAGGGACTGTTTCCCAGGAAATGGGGGTGGCCAGATTCGCAGGTGGTCTTGGGGCCAATGGGCTCCCAGTGTCCCAGGCAGAGCGCAGACCCTGTCCCACTGCAACCTTTGTATGCTCAGTCTCAGCTGTGGCCCCACTGTCCACTGCTCAGGTCCAGAGCAGGCACTGTGCAGGCTCTTAACAGTCATGCTGTGGCTGGGGCAGTGCCACATCGGTCTTCCTCCTCTTGTCCTGTGCTCCTGAAACCCACTCTTCTGTGCGGCCCTGCGGGCTGTGTCGTGGCAGGATGGCTGGCAGGGCCTGAACAGGCTCCCATGCTGACCCTTACTCTGTCAGCAGCCAGGCACGCAGACAGTCCTTGTAGCTGCAACCCGGGCGACCTGACAGGCAGGACCCAGCATGCAGCTCTCCCCAGCTGCACAGGGCACCAGGGAGGCAGAGCCCCGAGGGGCCTCAGCTGTGCCAGAACCAGTGTGGGGCAGCACCCTGTCCTAGGGGACAAGGGACACCTCCCAGGGCCCTTTGCAGAGGTCTCTCAGCCTCTATAGCCGACTTTTGCGGGCTCAGTGCCCTCTCTCATCTCACTGACTGCACGATGGGACTGTGGCGCTGGGGAGCTGGGTCCCCTGCTCCCTGCGGGGTCTTGTTGACATGTGTTCAGAGCTGTGTGGTAACCACACTCAAGACCCCAGGAGGGTGGCCCTCATGGCTGCAGCATCTCCACAATCTCCCATGATGGGGCCCTGTGGTTTCCTGACCTTTGCTGCTACCCTTGGGGACACGTGACAGGCACGGATATAGGTCCCTTGGGCCGACCTAGTAGTCAGGGGCTTGGCTTCACTTGTGGTTGTGCGTCTACCTGGGCTGCCTGCCAGGCTTGTAGGCCGGGACTCACTGGCTGATGTTGCTAGAAACTAAAGTGCCAACGTCACAGCGCTGTTGTAAAGCATCTTCCCTTTGCTGCGTGTGCTGCAGGGCACAGACCAGATGGGAGTGTCATGGGGACAGCAGCCTGACCTGAGGAGGGCCCAGCTCTCCAGGGGGGCTGTGGGGTCCCACTGTCCCCAGGTGTGTGGCCGAGGTGGAAGCAGAGGCTCTGAGCCCCTGTCTCCCCAGGACCGGGCCAGTCAGAGCAGAACTGCGCGCTGAACATCTTGGGACAGTGCAGAGGATACTGGGGGGGCGGGCTTTGGATGGGTGGCCTGAGGACCAGGGCTGTCACCTGCAGCTTAGGCTGGGTCTGGGGCCTGGGGAACTCGGCCCTCCCTGCTCACCCCCTGTCACTCTGTGGCTCTCACTGGCACCCGTCCTTCGGCCAGGCTGGAGCAAAGCATCCCACTCCCTGGAGGCCCCCGAGGACGACGGTGGCTGGTCCAGCGCAGAGGAGCCCATCAACTCATCTGATGCTGAGGAAGACGGCGGAGTGGGCCCCAAACAGCTGGTAATGGCTCACTGGACAGTGAGGAGTGCTCCTGACCCAGGAGACGGCTGCTCTGGAAGGTCCCCGTGGCCTGGGTCTTGGTGCGGCTGCAGTTGCTCCTGGCACAGATGGGTGGTGCTCCTTGGGTGGGTGTTCGTGTTGGAGCCTAGACAGGTGCCCCCTGGGCCCAGCCCACACCCTGCCACCCTCCGCCCACAGGAAGTGCTCACCCAGTCTTGCTAACGTCGACTGCACATCTCCACCATTTCTTAGGGACTGCAAGGCCTTAATCGCAGCTCTGTGTAACCCACAGTGCACTTTACGTGATAGATGAGGTCTCCATTTACCAGTGGAGCGGTTGAAAAACCTTTGCATATGTGATCCATAGAGTTAGGGCTACACTGGCAAGCAGTTCCCGCCCACTGTGGGAGCTGATGTGAGCACCAGGCTCCCACGGCCAGCAGAGCGTGGCCAGACCTTGAGAAGGCAGGCGAGGTGGCCCGGACACAGCCTGGCACAGTTTGGCAAGAGAGAAATGGAGGCCAGGAGACGGGAAGCGGGAGGGAGAGGGATCCTGGCTGCAGTGGTGTCGGGAGCAGGCGGGCCGGGCAGGGAGCCGGTGTGGGTCATCCACCTGTAGCTGTGCGTTCACAGCTGCGCAGGAGGCTGGGGTGTGCATGTCCTCAGCGGCAGAACTCTGTCCCCATGCCAGGCTCTGCTCCGGCACTGGCCATAGAGCAGGACAGAATAGACAGAGCCGCCTCTCTCATGAAGAGGCACAAGGAAGTGATAAATCATATAACATGCTCGGTCAGGATGGCCAGCCGCCAGCCACCACACATAGCCAGGGAGAGGAAGCTGTGGAAGGGGCACAGCAGCATCTCAGATGTGTGGCCAAGGAAGGTCTCAGAAAGCACAGCCACTAAACCAGACCTGCAGTTTGTGGGAGGCGGGATACGGGTAAAGGTCCTGGTGTACGGCTGTGTTTGGAGACCAGAGAGAGCTCGGTGTTGCTGGACCATGAGGATGCGGTAGTGCTGAGGTTTTGTTGCCATCTATAGTTTCTTTAGTAGCACAGTCATGGTATCCTAGATGGAGGCCTTTCCAGTGTAAGCCAGTATCTCACCGTGTCTCCACATGTAGCTATTGTGGCCCTCACTGACAGTCACACAGCATACTGGCCGGTGCAACATGTGGCTGGAACCAGTATGTGTGGATTGCCTGGGTGCTGAGGGGCACCGTGCTGACCAGCTGGCCCTACTTTTATCCTCTGCCCATCTCCCTGCCTAGGTCCCTGGTAAATACACTGTCGTGATGGACGATGACAAGGGGGAGCCCAACACCCTCAATATGAGGAGCGGAGACGTGGTGGAAGTGGTAGAGGAGGGCACTGAGGGGCTCTGGTAAGACACCACACGGGGCCCAGCACACGCCTCAGACATGCTCACATACTCGTGTCTCAGACACATAACATACATCTCAGACATGTCCACATATACCTCACATACACCTCACGTACGCCTCGGACACGCCTCACATACTCCTCACATACACTTCACATACACCTCACACACACCTCACATACACCTCGGACATTCACATACACTTCACATACACCTCACATACACCTCTGACACGCCTCACATACACCTCTGACACGCCTCACGTACACCTCACGTACGCCTCTGACACGCCTCACATACACCTCACGTATACCTCTGACACACCTCACGTACACCTCAGACACATCACAGACAAACCTCACCTACATCTCACTCACCACAAGCTCATATCTGAGGCATGTGTCACACTTACCTCTCAAGCCCCACATGTACCCACAGTCTCTCCCATACAGTCATACCTGGCACCCACCCGTGCACTCTGCTGATTGCAGCCCCTGACCCCTCCTCGCAGGTATGTGCGGGACCTGACCAGCAGCAAGGAGGGCTGGGTGCCAGCCAGCAGCCTGTGCGTGCTCCTGGGCAAGTCCAGCTCGGCCCAGTGTCTGAACAGCTCAGGTAAGACCTGCGGTGCATGCTGATCCTGCCTGTGCCCTCGGCCACTGAAGTCGAAGAGCCAGGCCGCAGCTCTGTCTCTGCCTGCTTCCGCAGAGTCGAGCCCAGGGTCGGCCGTGCTGAGCAACTCCTCAAGCTGCAGTGAGGGCTGCCCCGTGACCTTCGACCTCCATGCATAGTGGCCAGGCCTGGCAGGACACCAGGGCCCGCAGGCCAGCATGCGATCTCTGCGTTTTCTTTTGCTTGGGCTTGCTTAGTTTGGGGAGAGGCGGTGCTGCAGGATCCAGCAAAGGAGGCCCCATCCGTGCGTGGCCATGGCAGGATGCATGGCCCTCAGCGCCCGACCCAGCCAGCCACGGCATCTGCAGAGAATCCTCCTGCTCAGAGGGGCCTCGCCGAGCAGCCACCCTGCACCCAGCCTGTCACTACCAACAGCCTGTGGAGGTGGCTTGGGACTCTCGTCTTTTATAAGTTTTTTATTTCCTTTAAACAGGGATTAATCCCATGGCCATTTTTGGTGGTACTTTGGCTTCAGATCTTTACCAGGAATCACTGTGTTTACATGAAATGACAATTTGATACTGTATTTGATATAAAACTATTTTTTTGTTACTGGGGCTTCCATCGAAGCACATTGTTTTTACCACTAAATGGTGTGGGGGACTCTTTCTGCACTCCCTGAGGTGCTCCTGCTGCAGGTGACAGGGACACGGCACCTGGTAAAGTCAGTGGCAGCTCCATACCCAAAGGCAGCGAAAGACCAAGGAGGTCCATCCACCTGCATATGTTTCATGTTCACAGGAAAATTTAAGCTATAATTTAAAATATTGACCTTCTTTTCTACAAAAAAAGGGGGAATTATCAGTTTTTTAAGAGCTTCGCTGAATCAGGATATTTTTACTGTTTTTAAAGAAAAATGTAAAGTTGTAATTTCTGCAGGGTCTCTGTGGCTCGACGGTCAGCTGCACTTGGGACTTGGTCGCTCCCTGCTTCCCTACCTGTCCCTCCCCTAGGCAGGCAGGACCTCCGCACCCCTCCCCAGCGCCACCTGCTGCCTCCTTGCAGGAAGTCGCCCCCAGGTGCTGAGTCAGAGTCGCCAGGGCAGATCTGGACGTGGGGAGGGTCCGCTTTATCCAAGTCACGGCAGAACTAGGATGAAAGCCCTTCTATTCTTCTTTTCTGTGTGTCTCAGAAACCGATCTCTTGTTCTGAATCACTTCCTGTGCCCAGCAGGGCAGATATTTTTGTACGTGTGTATATATGTTCACGTGTGTACATTTGATTTGATGTAAAGGATGTATTTATGTCTCAAGCTGCTGAACAGTGTCACTTTACAGTCCTCTCCCTGCCCCCTCTCCCGGCTGGCACTGCCCCACCGTGGTCGAGGCCACGCACTCTCCCCTCCCGCTGGTGCAGGGCCATCTCTGGGCAGACCTCCAGAGAATGGTAACCCAACAGAAGACGCATGGACACTCGGGGGCTTTTCTTCTGGTTACACAGGTTTGCAAGGCACCGCGGGATGCAGCTGGCCTGATCTGTGTTCAGGCAGAGCTCCTTCTGTCCCAACAGGAGCCTGCCCTTCCTGTGGTCTCCTTCTCATAACGGCACTTTAAAATGTCACATTTAATTCACTGTTACTTTTCTTTTTTTACTGCTGATGTAAATGAAATTTTAAAATCAAGGTCTGTACTGTGTGGATGAAGTTTGAATAAATGTCAGCACCTCCTGCTATCTGTCTGTCTGACGGGAGCTCCCAGCACTGTGCTCCCTTGAAACAGTCTCCAACCTGGTATGGCAAGTAAAGATGCTCCCCGATTGACAACCCAGTTTCCTTCCTGCAGCTATGTCATTAGGTGAATTGGATGCTAAATGAGGAGGTGTATAGAGTATGTGCACTTCACTATTCAGAACAAAGAAATGCTCAAAGAAACTCCAATGTGATGACTTTGGTTTTGTTTGCAGAGCTCTTACATGCAGTGCTGTAATATGAAACGGAACATAAACCTACAGTACTGTACGGTACAGGACCATCAGCCAAAATGACAGTAGTATATAAACAAGGTGAGCAAAAAAGACATTGAGGCTCTGTAAACAAGATGTACAGAACTGTACAAGAAAAGACAGGTCCTAAGTCCAAGCAGCACTTATACATCTGAAACATGCACCTCGGTGGTAAATTCGGTCATTAAACAGATAGTGAGGAATATCTATACAAGCTGAAACAGGACAGAGACTGGCGAGGCGGCCTGGGCGAGGCACAGCCACCGAGCATCGCACTGCTTTGATTTTATCAGATGGTGGGACAAGGTGACACATAGCAGACATACAAAGACTGCCAGAGAAGAGTAGGAGACCCATTGCAGAACAACGAGGCACTTGACAACTTCTGACCAGAAAGGTGGAGAATGAAGGAAGCTTGATTTTTGGTTTTTTGCTTTTGATTTCTTGAGACAAAGTCTCCCTATGTAGTTCAGACTTGCCTTCAACTCACTATGTAGCCCAGGCCAACCTCAAACTTACAGTGATTCTCCTGCCTCAGCCTCCCAAGTGCTGGCATTACAGGCATGTGCCACTGGCCCAAGCTTGAAGGAAGATTTTTTTATCTTGGAGATAACAGGATGGAGGGAAGAGAAAACCACACATGTAATGAAGTGGTTTGGTAAGCTGACCTACTGGACCAGTACCAGGAGGGATCACAAACACCTGCCAAGGGAGACCCTGAAACAAAGCTAAGCAAAGCATGAAAATGAAAGGAAGCAAAAAGTCAAAACAAACACCAACCAAAGCAAACGCCTAGAAATACTGGTAACACATGAAATGGAATTCAGGGCAGTAAGAGGGTAAGAACTGCCTGCATGGCGATCACAAACTGGTATACAACCAATAATAATGCTCAGAAAATAGAAAGCAAGCTTCAGAAGTTAGGGCAAGATGTTTTCATCTCCCTACCTGTTTGTCCTACAAATAGAAAACAATGTACTGTTTTCAGCACACTTGGGACATACACACAGTGTTTACGGAATGATGGAAAACATGTTCAGGAATCTAAAGGCCTGTTTTTGAGTCCTGGGTGAGGGCAGCAGGGTTAATACTGTAAGCACGTGCGGTCTGCATCTACCACATGGCTGGGACCCATGTTTGCAACTGATTTTCTCTGATTTTTGTATGATCACATTAATGAGTTATTCCCTGAAGGAAGCTAAAGATGAAGATCAATGAAACTCAAAGAAAGTATAAAGAAGGAATAGATACAATTGAAAGTAAAAACCAAATCAGTCAAAAACAAAATGTTCCTTGAAAAATCTGGCAAAATTGGCCAACTTTCAGAAAACTGAGAAACTTCACAACATATAAACGTTTTAAATGAAATAAATAAATAAAATAGGAAATAACTTTTTTTGAGACAGGGTCTCACTGTATAGTTCAAGCTGGCCTCAAAATCACTATGTAGCCCTGGCTAGCCTTGAACTCACAGCGACCCTCCTGATCCAGCCTCCTGAGTGCTGGGGTCACAGGTGTGCACCACTACACTTGGGAGAAATAACTTTTTAAATGGTCAAGTTGCCAAAATTGATCTAGAAGAGAGAAAGTACTTGGGTCAATAAATGAATAACAAAGAAATTAAATCACAGTAACAAAAATTATACCAAATATGCCAGAGGACTTTTTAGGAACATAAAGATATTAACACCAACTAACTCAAAAAATATACAATGGGAAAGCAACTCAACAAACTAATACAGAAAGTGTTGTAGTCACTTTCTTGTCATAGACACAGTACCGAAACCCATGACCTAAAGGAAGATTCATTTGGTCTCACAGTTTCAATCAATGATCAGCTGGTTCCTAAGCAGAAACAGCATGTGGAAAAGAGGCCCAGCATTAGAAAGCTGCTTGCATCAAGATGGTTAGGAAGCAGAGAGAGGAGGGAGGATCCAGGGAGGTAGGTACACCCTCTAGGTCACACCCTCAACGATCACCTCTCAACTAGACCCCACCGGCTAACAGAAAGTCATCTGTAAGCCCTCATGATTCCATCACGTTCCAAAATCCCCCACCTATGAGTACATGAGGCCTTCGGGGGACACCTAGACCCAAACCAACATTTGATCCATGGCCCCCAAAAGACTTATGCACATCTCTTTATGCAAAATACAATTAACCCATCTCTAAGAATCATCAAAGTCTTAGCAGTTTTAGAGGTGCTGAAAAGTCCAAGTCCAAAGTCTCCTATGAGACTCAAGGCAAACTCCTAGGTGTGAGCCCTTGTAAAAATAAAGAAGAAAGTTAAATATTGCTTACATACAATGGAACAAAATAAATATTCTCATTCCAGAGAGGAGGAATAGAGGAATGGAAACCAATGGGAGAAGAGCAAAACAAACAAACAAACAAACAAAAAAACAGAAGATCAAACATTAAATCATGTAACTACTGTCCAGCACCTTGGACAAACATGAGCACCAAAGGCCTTGGATGGCCTCATTCCTCTTATACTGCAGGTTGTAGCACTCATGGCTCTCTCGTCAGGTGGCTTTGCTCACTAGCTATGGCCCTCCTCCGCCAACATCCCAGAAGATGGCATCTCCAACTTCCTGGGGTCTCCACTGCACTTCTAGCTTCACACTCAAAGCTTTATGCACTGCTCTGTCAGGAACACACTGCCTGGACTGCAGGCCTGCTCCTGAAATCTGGGTGGAAGCCTGTCTCACCCTAAAATTCATGCATTCTGCATGCCTATGAAGCCAGCACCACATGAATGACACTAAGGTCTGCAAACAGCTCAAGCAGTAGTGGGTCCCCTTGTGTCATGGCTGCAGAGGCCTCTGAGTTCTTGTATGGCTGAGTACTATGAATCAAATCTGGGGAACTAATTCACTAGGTAGTCCATTTTGAGTAGGGTGCTCTGGGGATTCCTTCTCAAAGCACAGTCTTTCACTTTTGCACCCTTGGAGCCTGGGAAGGGTAACGTTTTGCTGGTTTCTCATATGTGCTTAAGGCATCTTTTTTATTGTCTTGATCTAAAGTACTTGGCTTCTTTTCAATGCTAATTGTTTCAGCAGTCAAGCTATCCCGGGCCAAAACTTTGTAAATCCCAACATTACAGGTACTTCTTTTCTAGCCACCACCAAATTCTTTCAAATTGCTTTGCTCTGCTATTTGGCCCTGCTTTTCACGGTAGATATAGCTATAAGCTGCCAGCAGTACCCATGCCACAGACCCAACACTGGACTGTTTTGAAATTTTTTCAGCCACATTAATTAGTCTTCCACCCTTAATTCCAATCTGTTGCAGTCTCAGGACATCAGCAAAATGTAGAAAATTTTTCTGCCAGAGCAAAATACACATGGTCTAGAGTCTGGCAATGTACTCCTGTTCCCAACTGAAACTTCCTGATCTTGGTCTTTACCATCTGCATTTCTATCCACATTCTGGTCTTCCAAGCTCCAACAAGAATCTGTCAGACTCAGCTTTACAGTATGCTAGGGCTTCTCTAGTTCCTATCTCCACATGTGAACTTTTCCAATTTCAGTAGAACTTTGTGTGTGTGTGTGTGTGTCTGGAATCAAACTCAGAGCCTTGTGCTTGCCGGTAGGCATGATACCACTGAGCGAAATCCCTGGCCTTCAAACTTCTACAACAAACCAGTTCCAAAGGTTTCTGAACAACGTGGTCGGGTAGCATCACAGAAACAACCCCGCTTCTCTGGCACAGAAATCTGTCTTTCTCATTGTAGTCACTTTCTCATTGCTAAGACAACACCAACACCCGTAACTGAAAGGAAGAGAGGCTTGTTTTGGCCCACAGTTTCCATCCATGGTTGGTTGACTCCCAGGCAGAAACAGCATGGCAGAGGGGCATAGCATTGGAAAGCTGCTTACATTATGGTAGCCAGAAAGGCGACAGAGAAGCAGGGAGGAGCTGGGGTGGGAGATACACCCTCTAAGCCACGCCTCCACTGACCCACCACTTCCAGCAAGGCCCTGCCTCCAGACAGCAGGTCAGCTATCAGTCACCGTGATTCAGTCACCTTCCGAAAGCCCCTCCTAGGAGCTCATGAGGCTTTTGGGGGACATTTAGCTTTAAACCATAACATCAAGTTTAACCTTGGTATCCAAAGCTGACAAAAATTACAAAAGAGAAAAATAATAAATTGATGAAGATAAATGCAAAAAATTCCAAAACCGCAACTGAATGTTATAAGTAAAACTAATATGGGCTAGGGGTGCAGCTCCTTGGTAGAGCCCTTGTCTAGTATGTGTGAGGCCCTGGGTTTAATCTCCAGCACCACCAAAAAAAAAAAAAAAAAAAAAAAAAAGAAAAAAAAGTTAATCCATTGTCCCGGCA